ATTAGGGAAGCTGAGGCAGGGAGATCGACACAAATTTGAGGAGAGTCTGGTCTACACAGTGAGTTTAAGGCCAGCTTGGACCTCATAGTGAGATCCTGTCTCAAACAAAAGTTACAGAAATCAAGATACTCCCCTCTCATTCTCCAGACACAACGGCCTTTTCTCAAACACATGAAGCTTGTTCTACTGTGAGCAGTTAAATTACAGAGAAATTAATATATAGTCAGAGAGGCTGGGTATGTTAGCACACACTTCTAATCCCAGTATTCAGGAGGCTGAGACAGGATGCAAATCTGAGATCAGCTGTGCTACAAAGTGAGTTCAAGGCCAGCTTGAACTGCATAGTGAAACCCTGTCTAAAAAAAAAAAAAAAATTTAAAAATATATAACCACACACAGACATACACAGTTAGAGGTACTGTAAGTCAGCACAAAAAAAGACATTAGAATTGTGGCTGGAGGGGGCTGGGGATTTAGTCGGGGGCTGGGGATTTAGCTCAGCGGCATAAGCGCCTGCCTTGCAAGCAGGCAGTTGTGAGTTCGATCCCCGGTACCGATAAAAAGGAAAAAGATTAAAAAAAAAAAAAAGAACTGTGGCTGGTTGTGGCTGGAGGTACATATGAAGGCCAGGCCTCAAGATGAAGACACAATGCCCAAGCCCATGTCTCCCAAAGGAATAAACAGCAAATGAAGTTATACTGTAATTAGCATCACCTGACCCAGGAACTCCAACTAGGCATCAGTAGCACAGGTGAGTGACCAGAGCACCAAACCCATCCCTTCCCAAAGATGCCTTTGTTCTTTCCATGTACCCTTGCTATATGACTTTATACATGAGGGCCCAAACTGGAACAGATTTATCACAAAGTGGCAATACTCCAAATAAACCCAAACACTAAGGCTTCAGTTTGGAAAAAACAATTCATACATTAATCTGTTGTCCTAAAAAGAAAAACACAATAACATGTGCCACAAGTTCACCACCACTGCCCTATTGGATCAATACAGGGTGGCTATACTTCTGATCCTACTAGTTGACTGTAATTTGACCCATGTTGTTCCCCCATTGTGACTCTGCTATATAAATTACCCCTGACAAAGGGCCTCAGAGGTCATCCCTTTATCAAATTCCAGGAGCTAACTTTTAAGACATTATGGTAGCCATTGTCAGTTCCCTATTATCTTTAAGTCCTGTATTGTCTTCATTGTTTTGTTTTGATAGGTCTTACTCTCTCATTTTGATTGATTTTGTCTGATGGAATTGGCAGCTATTTTGAATATAACAAGAAGCATTATGGTAGCCATTGCTGATTTCCTATTATCTTGTTTTGAGACCCTGTATCATTTTCATTGCTTTGTTTTGATGGGCCTTATTCTGTTTTACTTTGTTCGGTTTTATTCTCTAAAATTTTAAAAATTCCAGGAGCTACTTCTCATTTCCAATAAAACTCTAACTTCTCCCTTTGGTTCACAACTTCATTCTTCAATGTTATAAAAACTACAAACTCTAGGCATTTAACATCTCATAGGCCAAGAGTTATGTTTCTTCTGTATGACTTTCTCCACAACTTCACAACAGATAGTTAAAATGTTACAACTTCAAAGAGGCATTCCCTGGCTACCCAATCCAACAAGGCTATTCATCATTTTTCAACACTTCACCTCCTGCTGTGGCTGTAAAAACAAATCAGACCTGTAAACTATGTCTGTTTATTTTGTCACCCCATAAGAATAAGGCAAAGAAATTTGTCTGTTCAACCAATAAGAATGCTTCAATGAGCAGGCAATGAGGTACACATCTGTAATCCCAGTACATAGGAGGCTGAGGCAGGATTCCCATGATTTCAGTCACATATAAGCAATATAAGCAAACTCCAGGCCAGCCTGCACCACAGAATGAGACCCTGTGTCCAAAAAAAAAAAAGTGCCTCTGATGGAAGAATTCAATAAATGTTAAGTGAGTGAATGAATTAGACATGTGACAGAAGTTAATCACTTAAAATCTAGAGTAAGTCCCTGACTTAGGAACACATCTGCTCCATGAGAACATTTGTAAGTCATATTTACCAGCAATCTGACAAAGTAAGCCTTATAAAGTACACCTGAGAAAGTTCACAGCATGAACATTCCTAAATCAGAGACTGTTTTTAAAAACATCTAAATCCCTTAACTCTACCTGAAAAATGGTTCCACAAATATCTTGAAAGCATACTCAGCAAAATTCTAAGATATGAAATCTAACACTCCTCTACTCACTGAAGGAAATAACTAGCACATGAATATAAACACACACATGTTAAGCACAAAGTGAAACAGTGTTCAATGTTTTTCATGAAAAAAGGAAATAAAAAAGCATGTCAAGTTGTTAGATACCTACAATAGTGTAAAAGGAGAAAGGACCAAAAACCACACACAATGGATCAATTAAAAACACATACACCCTCCTACAGTCAAAGTTCTATCAGAAACACAAAGTTTCAAAATAGCCCGCTGATCAATCAAACTAGTTCTCTAGTGATCCAAGTAGCAGGTGTCAATAAACTATGTAAACAACAGAAAATAAATAATGTACCAGCAGGCTCATTCACAGGATTTTTGTGTTTATTACAGAAAATTTCAACTATACACAAATGTAGACAAAACAGCAAAATAAATCCCATGTATACATCATTGAATTGCAGTAGTTAACAAAGTATCTTGAAGAATTTAAGAGATCAGGTGAATTCTCCCTCCCCCCCCCCATACAACTTCCACAGTGAGGATAGCAGAAAGAGACAAAATAAATACACTTTAGGGGTACTTTTCCTTCTTAAATAGCCTTTGCCTAATTAATGTTATAAAAAACACAAATTTTCTTCCCTATTGTTTATACTGGATCATATGCTAATGCTTATTTTAAAGGAAGAATGAAAAGCTGTAGTAAAAACAAAAATGATTGCAGGGTGTAGTGGCTCACACCTGTAATCCCAGCATTCAGGAGGCTGAGGCAGGAGGATCACCGTAAATTCGAGGATGGCCTGGGCTACAAAGTGAGTTCAAGACTAGCCTGAGCTGCATAGTGTAACACTGTCTCAAAAAGAAAATAAGTAACAAAACAACTGAAGAAGGTGAGCATGATGGCGCATGTCTAGTTTGAGGCTCGCTGAACTATATAGTGACTTCAAGGCCAGCAAGATCCTGTCTCAAAAAACAAAAAATGGCAGCAACAACAAAAAGACCAAAAATAAACCAGGTAAAAGAGCTTGTATTTCTCCATTAATCATATACCTTTAAAACTTTGATGCTGGACACTCCAGTTTATGCTATGGAAATAACTGAATCAAAAACATTTTTTTTTTGAGACTATAGTTCAGGCTGGCCCTGAACTCACTATGTAGTTAAGGCTGGGCTTGAACTCATGGTGATTCTCCTGCCTCAGTCTCCCAAGTGCTAGGATTACAGGTGTGTGTCACCATGCCCAGCTTGAAATCAAAAATTTTTTTTTAAATCGGTACCAGGGATCGAACTCATGACCGCGCGCTTGCAAGGCAGGCACTTATGCCGCTGAGCTAAATCCCCAGCCCGAAATCAAATTTTTAACACTTTGAAACTATAGGTACTAGTTAACAACTGCAGATTTTTCTATTTACTTGCAGACTAACAAAAAAAATTTTTTTTTGGAGTAACTACCCCCTTTTCATTGGAAATGTCTCTGTAAAACAGATTAATGCTTTATTCAAAACTCATCCAATAGGCAAAGAAAATTTCTATTTTTACACAAAACAAGAAGTTAAGTGCCACCGATTGGAGAATACACTAATGGAAGAATACACTAAGGGACCTCTCTCCTTTTCTATCAAGTTACAACATATTAAGCCTACATATTTCATGTGAAGGGCCATGAATTTCTGCCTGTTAATTCACCTATATAATCTGAATCCCAATCAAGAGAGAAAATTTCCAATACCCCAGAAGGCGCCACCATTTCCTTCAAAAGATACCCATTACTCTGACATTTATGATGAAAAATCAGTTTAGCCTCTTTTTATGACATACAAATGGAATCATAAAGGTTCTCTCTTAAAATACTTGGCTTCCCTCACTCAGTTATATGTCTGTGCAACTCATCTGTTGCTCCATGTATTGAACATTAATTCTCTGCCATGTCTGTGCTGTAGTCTACCACATAAGTATCTGTCAACATATTTTCTATTCTGTTGATAAGAGTTGGGTTATTTGTAGTTCTGAGCTATTATCATTAATATTCTTTCATATATTTTTTGTGGCGGACAAATGTCCCTAGTCCCGCTGGGCATATTACACAGGAAGTCAAACAGTAGATAGTATACCTGCCTCTTTTTTTATATTTGCCTTTATTAAAAGCTACCACTTTTTTTTCTTTTGATGAAGCTGCAAATGTAGAAAAAATTTTCCATTGTCGTATGTGTGCAGGGGCCCACTGAGTCGTGCGATAAAACGCATCCACGCGTTATGGTTAAAAAGATTGGCCACTTTCTTCGTTCCACTGTCCTACCCCTACAAGGAGACTCCACCGAAACAACAAATTCTTAGTAATCAAAAAATCTCTGCAGCTGTTTTTACTTCACACAGAAAAAACAGACTTAGGAACTTTACCTAGTACATCCTATGGAGAAGTCATTATTGAAAAACAAAAAGAGAAAAAGAAAAAAAGACCCGTCTTAGTTGCATTATAAAACCGCTCAAGACTAGTCATTTACATTTCGCAGGAAGTAAGACCTACAACGAACAGCGCTCTAAATTTAGTCTCGTCTGTGACAAGGGAAGAGCAGAAAACCATTATGAGTCTCCAGTTCCTCATCTGTAGCCACAGGGGAGTCTATCAAGGGCAATATATTTTAACTAATCAACAAATCAATTACCGATAAATACAATCAGCAACACACAACGTTAAGAATCGCAGGCTTTCATGGGAGTGAGGGGGATTCAACACAGGCTGTTCCCTGGCTGGTACCAACTTCTCTGCCACTCTCCTTCCCTACCTCAATGCACCTCTGTCCTCCGGTTCTCAGTCACAGGTGTGGCACTCCAGTTCTTTCCTACCACCCATTTCGTTGTTCAAAAGGAAACTGAGGCACGCAGCAATGGATGAGCCGCAGCAGTCACTAACAGAAGGTAGACTGTCCAACCCTAGGCAGTTAGAACCCCAGGGTCCTCGGCTTCCCTCCTCGCAAGCCTCGAGCCGACCGTGAGAACTCAAACCCCTTCACACTCAACTCGACTCCAGCTCGTGTCCGCCTCTATCGAGGTCTAGAAGGCCTGAACTCCCCAGCCTAACCGCAAACACGCTTGGTTCAGCCAAAAGTTCGCTCCCGCGCACACCCACACCAGCCGCCTGCCCGCGTCCCACCTCCACGCCGTACAGCCTGGGCCTCCTCGGCACACACAGTAGCCCAACCGAGCGAAAATACCCCGCGAGGGGATTCTCCACACCCACCCCTACAGCACAGCCGCCACGCCGGAAGCGCCCCCGCGTCTTACGCAAAGTCGACGTCACTTCCGGCGCGACTCCTACAAACAGGAGGAGAGTAGGTAAGGGGCGGGGCGTCAGGAAATTTGAGAAGACGGAGTATGTGATCACAGCGGACGTTGCAGATTTACAGAATTGTGCGTGGGCTCCCGTGTTACGCGCCAGCCTGCAGATATTTGCCGGGTTGCTGGCTGCAGTCGGGGTTCTACACCCCCCATTACTTGGTCCAGGTTACTGGGGCACAGTCCCCTTGCTGGTTTATTGAAAACTCTTACCCAAACGTGGTGGCGCACGCCTATAATCCCAGCGCTCGGGAGGCTGACGCAGAAAGTTTGTCACAAGTTTGATATCAGAGGAGGCTACAGAGTAAATTTAAGGACAGCCTGAACTACGTAGTAAAACTCTTGTCTTAAAAAAAAGAAGAAGAAAATAATAGTGTACAGCTCATGCCCATCTTGCAAGTTGGCAGGCAAAAAAGCGGAGAAGCCAGATACTAAAGAAACTCAAAGCCAAGAAGGCTGGTGCCCCTGCCTCGGTTAAAAAAGGTAATAGGAAGGCCAAGAAGGGGCAGCCCTACTGCAGCTGAAACCCTGACCTGGTTAGGGGAATTGGTAGACACTCAGATCTGCTGTTTCCCAGAAAGGATTTTGTACAAGGGGAAGTACTCAGCTGCTAAATCCAAGGTTAAGAAGGAAAAGGAGAACGTTCTTGCTACTGTCAGAAAACCAGTTGGTGGTGACAAGAATGGTGGTACTGAGTAGTTAATGACTAACTTAGCAGAATGACTAGATACTATCCTGCTGAAGGTGTTCCTGGAAAGCTGTTAAGCCAGGGCAAAAAAACTTTTAGTCAACTCTTAAGAAAACTGTGAGCTATCATCACTCCTGGGACAATCCTCACTTGGCTCCACAGAAGTGAGAGGGTGGATTTCCTGAAGCAACTGACCAGTGCCTTGCTACTTGTGACTAGGTGTCTTTTTTTTTTCCCCCCGTTTTTATCGGTACCAGGGATCAAACTCACGACTGCCTGCTTGCAAGGCAGGCGCTTATGCCGCTGAGCTAAGTCCCCAGCCCTTGTAACTAGGTGTCTTAATCATGGTCCTCTGTGTAGAACATGCCAGAAATTTGTCACTCCCCTCCACTAAAATTGATATCAGCAACATGAAAATCCCAAAACACCTCACTGATGCTTACTTGAAGAAGAAGAAGCTGCAGAAGCCCAAACAACAGAAGGGTGAGATGCTTGACATGGAGAAAGAAAAATAACCAGATTTCAGAGCAGTGCAAGGTTGACAAAAAGCAGTAGACACAACATTTTACCAAAAATCAAAGCTATTCCTCAGCTCCAGCGCATCATTCAATCCGTTTTTGCCCTAGTATGTGAAATTTACCTTCACAAATTGAAGTTCTAAGAACATGCATTTTGTTTAGAAAGTGTACAATTCGGTGATTTTTATTCACAAATTTGTGCCATTGTCACCACTAATTCCATCACTGCCATAAAGTGATGGCATAAGTACTACTACTCTGCCATAATAAACTTTAGTCCTTTGTAGGAGAATGGATACATTTGAAACCAAAATGTTAAGTGAAGTAAATCACACAAGCTTAAACAGTGTGTGTTTTTTCTTATATGAGAAATCAAATTTATAATGTGCAAAATAAGTAATAAGTAGAGAGATGTATCTCAGGAGGAAGATAAAGAGATGGAATGTGAAGGAGGAGAAAAAGGAGAGGGGAAAGAAATTCAAATGTGTCAAGCATGTGGCACCATCTCCCCATGAGGAATGTAAACATATACTGCAAACATACTAATAAAAATAATTTTTTTAAAAAGGCCTGTACCCTAATCCCCAGTGCCATTAAAGACAAAAAAGATAGATAAAAGATAAAAAGACAAAGGCCTGTACCCTAAGTAGTCACTCCCTTTCACTCTATCCCCAGGCCCTCACAACCGCGAATCTGCTTTGGGTCTCCATGGATTCAACTCTTCTAGGTATTTCCTATAATGAGATTGCATGATATGTAGCCTACATACATAATGAGTTTGTTTGTTTCACTTAGAATAATGTTCTCCAGGTTTATCCATGTGGTAGCACTTGTACTGTGTCCTTTTCTATGACTTCAGTATCCAGATTTAATTGCAGTGTTGGCACTTGGCAATAAAATGGGTTTTGGGTTGCAATTTTGGCACTTTGTCTCTAGAAGATTCACCATCACTGATCTATGATGTTGGTTTCTAGATCTACTTTACAAGGACTAAGAATTATTTTTATTCTGGTAATTGCCTGTGTTATAGTAGCTGACACAGTTGATCCAGAAACTTAAATACTACTGCCCAGCTGCCATCATGACTTATGATGGCCCAATAACTCCTACACCAAAAGAAGAAAAGATTAATTCCCAAACCCCACCCCCACTTCTTGGCCCCACCTTCCTGCATGGAGGTTGGGTAAGCCCTGCTCACCATGAATGGGAAAATGTATTTAGGAGTCAGGCCCCTCAATCATTTGGGGAGGCTCCTGGAAGCAGAGGCTCCCTTTATACATCCAGTGCTAATTCAGAGAATGCCCTCCATAGATGCCCTCCATAATCCAGAGAGGAAGGAAGACAGTAAAGTGGCAGTCTTGTACCCAATACAGACTTCCTGAGAGCAGTAATTTTACGTCTCCATTCCTACCTCCTACAAGAAAACCCAACACAAGACTGGGCCCAAGGTGGGCATGGGTATGTGTGATATCTTCAACCAAGATTCAAAAACTCCACATGCAGGACTACTGGGTAACATTTTTATTTAGCTCAGGTAAATAATTCCTATACATTTATGGGCATATTTATGGGTTAAATTATTCTACATTAGATGATTCTTAAGCTGATAAATAATAAATGCAAACAACCACAGCTTAGATTAGAATAAAAAAAATGTACAAACATAAAAATGGGTATTTTAAGCCAGGAGCAGTGATACATGTATGTAATATCAGCACTTTGGGAGACACAGGCAGTAGAATCACAAGTTTGAGCCAAGCCTAGGCAACACAGAGACTTAGCAAGACTCTATCTCAAAACATAAAAAATTAAAGAAGCCAGGGCTATAGCTCTGGGTAAAAGGCCTGAGTTTAATCCCTAGTAACACATACCAAAAAAAAGTATATGGGGTGTAGATAAGGGATACTAATAAAAGGTAACTGAAATACTACTTTATTCGTTGGCTCTGGTCCTTGGTCTTAGAGTCACAGTTCCTTTTAAATACAGTCCCAGCCCCCACCCCCACCCCCGACAGGTTAGGAGGCAGATTGGTTTGTTATTGCCTGGAGGTAGGGCAGATGAATGTCATCCCTTAGGCATGGAATCACCACCCCACAGGAGCGTATCTCTCAGCCTTGAGCAAATAGTGATGCCACCTCTGTGCCAGTCTCCTGGATTGGCTCTTCCCTTACTCCAGGAAGCTCCCACAGGGATCAGACAGGCCCTGGAACAACCTGTTCTGTTTCTTCAGCCTGGATAGGTCCAGAGACTTGCACAGTTTCTCAAAGGTTCCCAGAGGCTGAAAGACCTAACCCTGCAAGGCTTCCAGCTCAGGCTCCTCTGTGGAAGCCCCATAGGCACCTGTGTCCTCGCACTGACCCCACTACCTGGATTCAGTATGCAGTACTCTGCAAGTTGGGTTAGGAAGTTGGTGTGATTTCCCAAGAGTCTATGAGTTTCAGGCTGAAGTTCAGAGGCCTGGGCCAATGCCCAGGTCTTATCCTGTTACAGACCAGGTAGACAGATCTAGGCTTCAGGACACTTCAGGACAAAAGGACGTGTCTGTGCCTGGAAGTGCTCACATCGAGAATACTTCATAGTCAGACCATAGATGGGGGTCATGTCTATCTTCACCCCTGGGGATGTGCTGAATTCCAGTTGCTGCAGGAGGATGGCCAGGAAGAGGAAGACCTCCCAGCGGCCAATGACCTCCCCAAGGCATCGGCGCTTGCCCAAGCCAAAGATAGTCACTTTCTCACTCAGGGCTTTGTCCACAGTGCCATCCGGGGAGAGAAAGCGTTCAGGCCGGAATACAGATGGGTCCCCCCACAGCTTCCTGTAATCAGAGGGAAGCAGATGAAGGGACAGTTAGGAGTTCAGAAGTATTATGCAAGTCGAACCCCAAAGGACAGGAATGGGCAAACAGTACACAGACAGGGGACAGTGGCCCAGTCCACCTGGGAGTTTTCACTACCTATTACAACTTACTGGTCATGGTTAATCTGCCACTGGTTCACAAAAATGCAGCACCCCTTGGGGATATAAAAGCCATTCAGACTTGTGTCCTTTGTGGTGCTGGGGAGGGAGAAAGCAGAGTCGGGCTCAGAGTCACAGAGGAATCCCCCATCTTCCATGCCATGTCCCTCCCTGGTCTCTCATCAGTGTGTGGACAACAGCAAGGCCCAGTGTCAGATAGCAGGGACCTGGGCAGCTTCACCTGTGCGGAATGGTGAAGGGCATGAAGGAGGAGTATCGGAAGACCTCCGAGATGAAGGCTTCCATGTAGGGCAGCTTGGGTCGGTCTGCCAGCTGGGGCTGCCGCTCTCTGCCAATCACAGTGTCTGCAGAACACAAGATCCAGATGGACTAAGGGGCTTCCCAGGCCTCAGCAGACCCCTTCCTGGACCTCTATGGATGGGGCCACCACCTACCCAGCTCCTCCTGGATCTTTTTCTGTATCCTTGGGTTCATCACCAGGTATAGAAGGCTCCAGGAGATGGCAGTTGTGATTGTGTCAAAACCTGGACAGGGTAGAACAGAGGAAGAAATTAGGCAGGTGACAGACAGATCAGAACACTCAGACACAAAAAGGGAACAATGAGCTGGCCCATACCAGCTCCAAAGAGGTCCAGGACAATGCCAATGATCTTTTGGTCTGAAATCTGAATATTGGCGTTCTTGTCCAGCTTTCTGTCCTGACAGTGCTCTATCAAGCTGTCTGTGATGTCCCGGATGTGACCCTAAAGGAGGAAGACACACAGATCAACAAGATTCTAAGACCAGGCAAACCCCTCATCCAGGCCTAGTCCCTCACTGTCACTATCACCTTTGTTCAAGAGGTTAACACCCACTGTGGCTGCTATCCCAGCTCTTCTCAGCCTCCCTGAGGTAGCTCTCTCTTACCTTAGAATACTGGGAACACTCACCACACCGAATTTCACACTATTTTCTGAATGTGCTCTTCAATCTTTCTCTCTCATGAAACCAAGAGACTAACTCTTTCCCATCCCTGCAAAAACTAGTCCAGGGTCCTGCATGGTGTGATTTTCAGAGGTTCTTGCTGACAGGAGTTTAGAAGAGCCACTCAAAAAAAAAAAAAAAAAACAATTCTACAAAGGCAGGAGGATCACCATGAGTTCAAGGCCATTCTGGGCTACATTAGTGGGCTCAAGATCAGCATGTACTACATAGTGAGACCATGTCTTAAGAAAAAAACAAAAATAATGCTACTTCCCTGGGGAGAATGGTGGCACCTCCCTGAGAACCTCCCAAGCCTCATGCTATTCCTCTCATCTCTGATCTCCTGGCCACCAACGCTGTCCACTTCCCTGGCACACCATCCTTTCCCCAACCTGTACCTTCTCAAATGTTTTGTAATGTTCCTTGATCATCTTCTGTATGAACACAGAGAACCTCCTATTCAGGTCCTTGAAGGTGTCCATGGTAGCACTGGGCAGGTATCGGAGGATGGGGATGAAGTCACTTGGGTTTCCAGAGCCAGTCACCTCCCCAAACTCATTATTCAGGTCAATTAACTCAAGCAGCTGTTGGTCGTCATGACTGTAGCGCTGCCCAAAGCATATGGCAGAGATGACATTGGCCACTGAGACCACCACATATCTGTAGGGGTCAAAATGCCCAGGTCCTGCCATGAGCTCCTGGAACTTTTTGATAAGGTACTCAGCCTCCTTCTTCACATGTTCCTCCAAGTAGCAGGAGGACACAGAAGCTGGGTCTGAGGCCACTGAGAAACTCTTCAGGGCACTCTGCGCCAAGCGCCTGCGGGCAGCCCACACGGGACCCGAATCTGGGTTGAAAGTCATGCTCTGGCCATCAGAGATGAAAGTGAAGCTGTAGAGGTCGGGCCGGCCCTTGAAGTCATCTCCCTGCCTCACCAAGGCCTGGCGAATGGTGTCCAGGCCGCTCAGCACCACCACGGGCGTGGAGCCAATGCGGATCTGCAGCACATCCCCATAGCGCGCACTCAGCCTGGTCAGCGCCAGGTGCGGGTTCTTGCCCAGGGTCAGCATGTGCCCGATCAGTGGCCACCCCCAGGGCCCCGGAGGGCTCTTCAGGCCTTTAGGAACTTGGGGTCTAAAGATTCTGACCACCCAGAGTACCAAACAGAAGATGGTGGCAGTTAGGAGCAGCTCCATGGCCGAGGTGGACATTGGGAGTTCTGACACAGAAAATACAGTTAGAGTCAGGATCTTCAAAGCAGCTGCTGAGAGGTGGAACAAGAAAAAGAAAAATGAGACCATCAGATGGAAGATAGGAGGAGCCAATATCCTAAAAGGTCAGGATGTTGGTCAAGGGAAGCAGAAACTTCCCAGCCCGAACTCCTGAAGGACAAGAGGCAGGTGAATGGGTAGGCAGAAATTGTTGAGATGCCAACATGTTTTTTTCAGCTGCTCTTCATTTACCCATGACCACGAATCTCTGCAGGAGGATGCAGGGAGGCTCAGAGGAGGTAACTCACTCAAGGTCATAGAGGCTGGAAGTGACTGCTTCCAGAATACCTCTTAACCACTGAACTAATCTAAAATACTCTTCCAATCTGTCTCTGATTTTTACATATCAGTATTGTCATTTACTTCACATTTTCCAAAAATTAGTTCTAAATCCATCCAGGTAGCATCATTCTAAACACTAGCTGTGTGAGAGTACAGCTTTGATATTCTCCCAACACATCCAAATAAATGTGTAACCGATGTGTATCTCTCTAATCTCTTTGAGTCCTACCCATTATTATGAAAACCTTGCTATAGGAAGGAATGAGGTTAGGAATCATCTGTTCCTTAGCCTCTTTGCACATTTGAGAGAAACTGATCTCCAGAAAGGTCACTGATTTGCCCAAAACCACTTACCAATTGTAACACAGCCAGGCCTCAGCTTCTAGGGAAAGTTCCCTGTAAAGTGGACAACTGCTACCATAAGTACCTGCTTTTGAAGGTCAAGAAGGAATTTCTCCAGAACCTCTGCTCCCTATGCTCAATCCCAGGGCCTAAGAAATCCTTCCAAACAGGAAGGACACTGCCCAAGCCACATGGCTCTAAGCCTGCCTTTCTGATTTCAACAGATACATCCTTTAAAAACAGGTAGATTGAACTCCCACCCACATAAGTCCAGGCCAGACTTTGTATTATGCCCAATTCTCAATGAATGAATAGTCCCAGCTTCCTTCTGTTGCCAGTCACTAGGTGGCAGAGAATAAATGGAAGGTTCCCACCAGGCCAGGGCTATAAGGAAAATCCAGACTGGATTAACAAAAATTAGGAATGGATCTGAAAGACAAAATGTTACAGGCTGGACCCAGAAATTCATGGATCACTCTCTCCAAGGTATTAGGTTCTGCCTGGGGCTTCTAGCTCCACTGCACTGGAGATCCAAAGAGCCAGTTTCTAGCTCATGTGGCCTCAGACTGGTAATCTGAAAGCAAGGGTGGGATATGATCTGGAACAATTCGAGTACCTAACCAGATCCTAGGGAAAAGGAGACCCAGACCCACCCTGAAGAAGCTCATAGTTCCCCCCCTTGGTCTCCCCACAGGAGAGATGCATGGTTCCAGCACCTCCCAGGGGGAAGGGAGATCCCTGGAGGGTCTGGATCCCCAAACACATTAGACCTCCAATCCCTGAAAGAACCAGGGACACACCAGTCTCAGAGGTGACATCCAGCCCTTTGTAGAGAGATGTGACTGCTGAATTTTCAGGGACTTATGCCTTCAGCAAGCCAAAGGACAGAGGGGACAGTCCAAGGAATTGAGGGAGGGGCCACACAGGCCCCCAGCTCTCTTCAGTTTCCCTGGTGGCCTCAGTGGGGAAGCACTGAAGTGCCACGCAGGAGTACGCCACTCACAGTCATGGGAGATGGAATTAGAGCTTTAGTCTTGGGAGTCCTCCGGGAGGGTGTATCTATGTCTAGAGGCTTAGAACTTGATAGGGGACCTCTGGCAAGACTTACTCTTCCGGGGCTATAGTTTTCCCTACCTAGGGTAGTTACACTACCTAGTCATAAAGATATTCGTAGCCTTCTGTTTTGGAGGTGATAGTCCAGTGACTACCCAGGAAGACCTGTAATACCCCAAATTTCCCTTTTATTGGGAAGAAAGGAACAAACCAGAAGCCCCCAGCACTCACCTGTGGCTGTGAGCTGCTAAACTGAGAAGAGCAGTTTCTGGCGCCAGGACCGCAAGAAGGATGGGGAGGCTCCAGATTCTCCCACCCTCAGGCTGAGGGTGAAGGCACCACCTTTATAGGAGACTGCCAGAGGCCCGCCTCCTTCCATGGAGCCTTGGGACAGGGTGGGGGCTGGGATGAGGGATGGGGGTGGGGCGAGGAAAGGGCCTCATCTAGGTGCTGACAGGAACAGAAACAACAGAACATGGTGAGGGCTGGGGGCATGTGGGGCCCCAACTGTCAAGGCATCCTGTGCATGTACAACGCAGAACACACCAGGGAGGATTTGGGGGAGAGGTCCCAGGACAGCACGAGGCGGGGACAGGGTGGGACGGACTGGCTTTCTCTCAGACATATCTGCACCCCCACGTCACTGGATGTACGAGTACCAGGCAGGCAGAGCAGGGCTGCTGGATGGGGACCTCCTTACCCTGGTCCTGGAGTCCCGGCTAGTGTGAGAAACCTGCGACCCCAGCCCGAGGTCACAAGCAGAGGCGCCAAGGCCCAGGTCTCCCACTGCCAGGAAGTGGCGCGGGACTTCTAGGGTTGCCTCACAGTACGGCCAGGGGGACCCTACGACCACCTGCACTCAGGGCTCCCTCTCGGCTGCCAGGGTTGTGGGTGCTGAGATTGGGGGCCGAAGAAATCACTGTGGGATGCAGGGACAGGGGGAGGAAGGGGACACCGGGACAGAGGTCGCGCCCCTGGTGGGCGCGGTGCCCGGTTGCGTGAGAAGCGCCCTCTGTGCGCGGGACCAGCGCTGTCACGCGAGGGGGGCGGGGACACGGGCGGGTCTCCTAAAGGGGGAGGGCGGGAGCCTGAGAGTGCCGGGGGCGCCATTGGAGGTGGATGGTGGGGTGGGGGTTGGGGAGACTTGCGTGCGAGAGACTGCTGCCCCAAGCGCAGTCTGCGCTGACCACGGTCTCCACCTGTGGCAGATCATGCAGGTCTTCACCGCCCTGCACACCTGACTGTCTGCCTAGCCTGTGTCCCCACCCGCTAGGTCACCCTTGCGCCCTTGCAAGATGTCCAAGGAAAAAGGCTGCATTTGCGTGTCTAGCCTGATCTGTGCCCAGCTCTCCACACTAGCTAAGTGCACCTTCACCTGTTCCCTGGCCCAGGCCAGAAACAATATTCGCCCCCTCCCCTCCCACTGCAATTGACTGCCTTGGGCACTGCACAAATATTTACCAAGCGCCCACTGTGTGCCAGGTGCTGGCAACTGAACCAGATGAGAACAGAACTAACAATGCCCCTCCTCCAGTGGCCGCTTACATCCCCATGAGGGACACGTGTTGGATGCCACAAAAACACAGAGACTAGAATAGCAGAGGACAAAAAGTGCTGTAGAAAAAGACCCAGCAGAGAAGAGGTAAATTACAAGGGGGGTGCATTGAAGTTCCAAAGAAGGTTTTCTAGGGTGACTCCAGACAGAAGCAGGAGTGCAGTGCCCAGGTCTGTGGGTGGAGAGCCCTTGGGGGTGGGGACAAGTCCAAAGGCCCTGGGGCAGCATCACTAGAAGCAATGGAAATGTGCAGGAGCATTTAGTGGTCAGAGGAATGGAATGCCTATAAGGGAAACTACCAATCCCCTTCTCGAATAAAGTGTCCTCCATTGGGAAATCTGAGACTCTGTGTGACACTGACATGATGCTAGGACCCAGCCTGGTAAGGTCACACTGGCCACTGTGCTGAGTGGAGAAAAAAAGTGCAAGGGTACTTTGGCATGGTGCAAGGGCCATTTGGCTGAGGTCTGTACAGCCACACACTCAGCAAGCTCCACCAATGCCCCTAAGTCATCGGTGGGGAACAGTCATTAGATATAGGCACAGCTTTATGCACTACCTGCCCTAAAGCATTTAGCCTCCAAATTGGGTTCCCACTTGTCTTTTGTCCCTTCCAGCCCTTCTCTCCACTATGGCACCCAGATTGTGTGTTTGGGGTTAATTTGTTTGTTTGTTTGATCCTTGAAATTGTGGCAATCGTCCTGCTTCAGCTTCCCGATTGCTGAGATTACAGGTGTGCATCACCATCCTCCAGCAGAACTGATCTCTTAAAAAATGCAAGCTCTTGGGGCTGGGGATTTAGCTCAGCGGCATAGGTGTCTGGGGATTTAGTTCAGCAGCATAAGCACCTGCCTTGCAAGCAGGCAGTCGTGAGTTCAATCCCTGGTGCCGATAAAAAAATAAATGAAAGCTATCTTTCTGTCACCACCCTGTTTACTCCTTTGGTATCTGAGGGTAGAAATGGAACCTTTTGCAGAACCTACCAGCTTTCCCAACTCTATTTTGTCTGTTTCTAGCCCTCTCCATAATCATTCTCAAGGGCCGGGGATGTAGCTCAGTGGCATAGCACCTGTTGGGCATAGTAATTTTCAAGACATTTGACTTGTGTTATGTATGACCTATAAAAGTGGCCACCTGCCACTTGTCCCTCCATGCCCAGACATGGAAAGCCAATCTGTTGAACACTGGTCTGATACGCCAAGTCCTGGCAAAGGTGAGTATCTGATAATGGAGTTAGAGGTAGCTGCACAGAGATGGGGCACTCAGCAAGAATGACATTGAACCCGAGAGCTAGTGCTCCAAGGGTGGCCTTAGGCAGCAGAACAGACACAGGAGGTACTGCTGGGCTTTCTCAGTGTTCTTCCAATAATTCCACTGCTGACTCAGTCTTAGGAACTTCATGGTACCCAAGAGAAGTCTGTGCTTCAGGCCCAGGTATTGAGAGATAAGACAAGAGTAAGGCACTCCTAGGTGCCTAGGCCTGCTCTGCGGCCTCCTTTCCCTCACCTCCCAGTGTCCCCACCAATTCCCTAGCTGGAGAGAATTCCAGCAGGCTGCACATGGGGCTGGAAAACCCTCCAGGGCTGGGCTCCCAGCTGGGTACCCAGGAAACCTCTGCTCTGGATAGAAGATACATTGCTTTGCCAGAGTCCTGAAGAGATCTGGATGCCAAAGGAATTCCCTAGCTAATAAAGCCAATCCCTCTCTCTCTGTGCAGCTGGAGAAACACATCAGAAGGATGAAGCTTGATGATGCCCAGCAAACCATCATGGAGCCTGGAGTGCTGCCATCTTGATGGGGGCCCAGGTTTTTCAGCTAGGATTTGCCATCCCAGGCTACAAGGGCAGACCCAGAGGGTCATGGGCGAATAGGCTCAAGTCCTGTACTGGCATCTCTATCTCCCCAGGCCCTGGGACAGCAGTAGGGTACGCAGGGGTCTTGGGACACCTTGCCCTTCTCCTCTTCAAGCCTTATCTGGTATACAGCTGCAATGACAGGAGGGGGCCTCCCTGAGCCACACAGAGAAGGAGGTGACAGGCAAAAGGCTCAAGGACCTTGGCCCAGAGCTGAACTCCCAACACTGGGTCAAAGTTTGCTTGCTTTGCGTGAGAAGCTCTTTGGCTGGGATTCCATCATGATTGATCCCCAGGGCAGGGGGCGGAGGTGTCAGGGAGGGCTCTGGGCTGCTGGGGGGATGTGGACAGCTAAGGGTCTCAGCCTGGTAGAGTCCTCTGGCCCAGAGCCTGTGGTTGGCACTGCTGCAGGGAAGTGTGTGGCAGGGGCCCAGAAGGCAGGCAAGACTCACAACAGATCATATTCCGTGGTGGAAACAGAAGCCATATCCCAAGCTGGGTCTGTGCTGAGCCTGGAGAGGCTGAGGAAACTGCAAGGGGAGTCCTGGGGTAACTATGGGGACCGTCCAAGCAAAATTACTAAGCGGTCCAAGCTTGGTTAAATTATGTGGTCAACCCAGGGACAGCAGGGATCTAAGGGTTTTATGAACCCAGCATCTTCTCTCCTCTGGTAACACCACACACATTGTTCTTTGGGGACCACCTGACCTACCTTACTCTCTGCCATCAGGTTTAGTGGGCTGATCCCACCCAAGCCAAGCCAAGGAAAATCATATGGGGGTTTTGATGAAGTTACTGGACAAAGAAGGTTGGGGGGTGCTGAGTGGGTTAGAAAATCAATCTGGAGTTGTGCATCCCAGATTTAGAAGCTGAGGCAGGATGATTGCCACAAGCAGGAGGCCAGCTGGGCTACACATGCTACCTGCCAGTCCCAGGACAGAAGACTAGGGATATGAGGAAAAACCAGGCAGGCATGATGGTACATATCTGCTAATCTCAGCATTTGGGGGGGCTCAGGCAGGAGGACCACCGCAAGTGCAAGCTCAGCCTGGGCTACATCATGAGTTCAAGATCAGCCTGGAATATACAGTAAGATACTGTCAAGAAATAAATAAATAGGGCTGGGGATTTAGCATAAGCATCTGCCTGGAAAGCATGAGGTCGTGAGTTCAATCCCCAGTACCAATCAATCAATCAATCAATACCATGAGGGTTTTTATTTTGGTTTGGTTTTTGTTTTTGACAGAATCTTCTAAATTGCCCAGACAGACTTTGAACTTGCAATCCTCCTGCCTCAGTCTGAATGCTGGTCTTCAAGTGTGTACCATCCTGCCCAGCTTACTTATTTATTTTATTCTTCTTAAAAATTTCACTGATAATGGTGGTGCATGTCTGTAATCCCAGCACTTGGGCAGGCTGAGGCAGGCAGATCGCTGCAAGTTCAATGCCAACCTAGGCTACATATAAAGAGCCTGTTCTAAGAAAACCTCTATAATTAGATAGATAAATAAAGCAGCGCAAACTCGTGCAATGAGAAGCTGGGGCTGTGGTCACTTGGAAGAAGGAAGACAAGAAGTCTTTGAGGCCACTGATGCTGTCTTCTCTGATGATCTGAGATCCACTCACACACTTATATATGTTTATATAAATTCATTATATGTGTTTATTCATTGAGTTCTCTATTTGTCTCTGTCTCTGTCTCTCTCTCTCTCTGTCTCCCTCTCTCTTCCTCTCTCTCCCTCTCTCTAGCTCTCTCTCTCTTTCTCTATTTTTCTTTTGAGACAGGATCTAACTGTGTAGTTCAGTTTGACCTCAAACTCACTATATACCCCAGGCTAGCCTCAAATTCACAGTGATTCTCCTACCTCAGCCTCCCTGAGTGCTGGGCTATAAGTGTGGGCCACTATGTACCACCCAAGAAAACATTTAAAAGAAAATACTCTTGGGGGCTGGTGATAGAACTCAGCAGCATAGTGTCTTCCTGGCAGCACTAGGTCCTAAGTTCTACTCCCCGTACCACTCCCTGCAAAATGCTAGCCTAAAAGGAAACACTCTCTCCTAACACGTTCAAATGAGATGGGGTAGGAGGTGAGGGCAAGAAAGGAAGCGGGGGAAAAGGAAAAGAAAGGAGAACAGAAGAAAAAAGTGGGGAGAGGAATGGAGAAAAGGAAGTATTAAGATATATTACCCGTAGATACAAATTCCCTATGATGAATGTGATCATTAAGTACTAATAAAACATAATTTTAAGAGCTGGGAATTTAGCTCAGTGGCATGAGCGCCTTCCTGGCAAGCTCAAGGTAGAGAGGTCGACTTCCACTACCAAAAAAAGAAAAAAATAATAATAATTTTTAAAAACAAAGGAAATAGTCTCTCCTAGAGCAATGTCCAAATATTTATGCAGATGCCTCCCATTTCTGGTGTGTGTCACCTCCTTCCAAGAGGTGCAGTATGGGAAGGGAAAGAGGTCACCTCACAGGGAGGAACTGCCGCGACTCCCATCAGCTGATCAGCCACCAGCAACAGGGCTTGGTCACAAGGATGCGGCACATGTTCTGTGTGCCATGAGGACAGTGACGCTTTCCTTGAGGTCCTCCCACTGCTAGCCCATCACCTCAGGCTCAGCATGAGCCTGGACTAGCCAGGACTCCTGACAATTGTCAAGGTCATCAAAAACAAGGATAACCCAACAAAGTGTCATTGCCACACATCATCCAAACAGCCATGAGGACTGAATGTCACGTGGGATCCTCAATGGGACTCTGGATCGGTAAAAGGACTTGAATGAAAACTGAGGACGTTTAAATGCACTGTCGTTCTGGTTCATTCATAAGATAGTGTCATTCGTCTATAACCCCTGCCTCACTTTTGGCAGTGAGTGGACCTTAGTGGAAACAGCCTTCCTGTCCCTTCATCAGCAACCCCTGACCTGTTCCATCTCTCTCCAAATTCCATCCTTGCCCCTAGCCATCTTCATGAATCAATTCCACAGCTTTCTTGTTTTTCAGGAGTTAAAGTTCCAGTCTAATCGAAGCCAAATTTTACTTCTCAACAAGGAGTATCAGCACTCAGGGAGGTGGGAGGATCAGGACAGGAATTCTTTTTTCTTTTTGAGACAGGGTCTTGTTATGTAGTTCAGACTGGCCTTAAATTCACTATGTCCAGCCGGGCATGGTGGCTCACTCCTGTAATCCCAGCACATGGGAGGCTGAGGTGGGAGGATCATTTTGAGTTCAAGACCAGCCTGGGCTACAAAGTGAGGTCAAGTCCAGCCTGAACTGCATAATGAGACCCCATCTCAAAAAAGACAAAGAAAAAATTCACTATGTCCAAGAGCTATAGGTTGGGCTCTAACTCAGAGAGGTCATTCTGCCTCAGCCTCCCCAAGCACTGGGATTATAGGTGTGGACCCCATACTAGCAGGAGGATCATAAATTCAAGCAATTAAGTCCAGGCAGTGTAGCAATTTAGTGAGAATCTATCTCAAACTAAAATAAATAAATAAAAAGGGCTGGGGATGTAGTAAGGTGAAGGTCCTGGGTTCAATTCCCAAGGCTGAAAACAAAATTACTTCTCATATCCAACCTAAGACTTGTCCCTATCTTTGTCTTGGATTTGACCAACACGGTCTAGCTTAAAGATTTCTTTTATACAGTGAACATCCTTGTATCTTCATCTAGTTGCATGATAACTGACATTTCTCTTCTGTACTTTCTTTTTTTTTTTTTTTTTTTTTTGTCTTTTTCATTTTTATCGGTACCAGGGATCGAACTCACAACTGCCTGCTTGCAAGGCAGGCGCTTATGCCACTGAGCTAAATCCCCAGCCCCTTGTACTTTCTTCTGATTGATGGTACATAGGTAAGTAATAGGTAATAGGTATCTACTTACATAGGTAAGTAGATAGGTAAGTAAGTACATCATAGATGATACAGAAAAATAGTATTATTTTTAAGACAGGGCCCCTCTGTTACTCTGGGTGGCCTTGAACACCTGGGCTCAAGGCCAGTAGCTGAGACCATGGTTGTGCACCATTGTGGTTGGCTATTTTTTAACAATTCGAAAGTAAGCTACAGGCATTAGGATGCTCCTCCTCAAATAAAACAACATTGATCTTCTAAAAATAAGAAAACAGAACCATGAATACAGTATTAGATTCACATCTGTTGTGGATTAAAAACTTAACACCAGATGAACTGAATCAGCATGGCGCTAAGCGTAGATGGCCCACCTGAGGAAAGTTGCCAGCATAAAAATGAGACCTGGAGAGGAAGAATACAGCTTTGTGAATTCTCGTAAGTATTACTGTTGTTTGAAGCTGTTGGTTCTCCTAGAGGAGCTTGTCATGGCTTACTTCCCCAATATGAATTTGGCCATTATCACTGGAGGAGCTCAGGACCTTGTCATTGAGAGTGGCTGTGGTTCCCTTTGGGGGAGCTCTGGTCCTTACATTGAGCATTGCTTTCTGGCTCTGGAGGGGAACATATGTGCTCCAGGAGACGCTGGTTACACTGGCTTCCTGATATGAACTCAACTGTTCTTATAGTCAGAAGAGTTTGGAACTTTGTCATTGCTGAAGATGGTTGCTCTGGTGAGCCCTGGTCCTTATTTTGAGTATTGTTTCTTGGCACCAGTGTAGAACCCCCAATCTACTGGCACAGCTCCTTTACCCCACTGGCATAGACTTTACAGTTTCCACCTCTGACCTTTGGGCTTTCCCAGCACAGACCCATAAAACAGATTTGCATGAGTCATTGTCGTGAGCTCTAGGCCTTCAACTGGACTCATGCAAGACATTGCGCAGGATCAGGCCCTCCTGACCCTGAATCAAGGCTGGCAGCTTCCTGACCCTGTTGGTTTCAAGAAGGAGCCTAAAGAGATGTCTTTCTATGGTCTGTTGGCCATTTCAGGACTTGGGCAGTGAAATGGTTAATTCATTAGAAAGGAACAGCTTGAAGCAAGCCCTCCTACCCCTGGTGAGTGGCTGTGAGCATGGCAGGCTCTGGTGGCCCAGGATTGGAGCCACCAGTGTTTACTGGGACTTGTACCATGCAGGGACCTGAAGCTCCAGGAAACCAAGCAACCCCTCCCCTTCCTGGTGAGCAGCTATGAGCCTGCCAGCTGAGATTGTGGGCTGAGATTCAAACATCAAATCCTCCCCCCCTCGCCATTAGCAAGTGGCAGCCAGTGATCTGGACATCCCTTGGGAGGTTGGCTATAGGCAATTAGCAAAGAGGGGGATGTCCTTCTTTCATCTCTTTGAAGGCAAATACTTTTATCCCTGTTTTGCTTTGTTCTAATTAATGGTTTTATTTTAGCCTGTTTTGTTTTGTTGAACTTCAATATACATGAAAGTATAGATAGCTATTTTGAAGAGAACAAGAGACTCTACGACAGCCATTAGTGTCTCCCTATTGTCTAGTTTTGAAGACCTAAAACACCTTCCCCATTCTGTTCGGATCAGTTTTATACTATGTTGTTTTATATGAATTCTCTGTATGCGAAGGCATGGACAACTATTTGGAAAAAAACAAGAGACAATATGATAGATAGTAAAGATCCCAGGTCGTCTAGCTTTGAAATTTATATCTCTTACATTGCTTTCTTATATCCTATTGTGTTCTGTTTTGTAGTGTTTAATTTTATCCCCTTTTAAAAAAAAAAGAATCAGGCCTTCAGCTGGATTCGTTGGGTGTGGACAGATTTCCTGCACTGGTTATATTTGACTCTGGGTGACCATCATAAAATAATACTATAAATTCTGTATCCTGTATGCAATTGTTTTCCTTGGAACCCCTGACTACAACAACATCTAAGTAGCATTCATTCCAGAAAAATCACTTAATTTCCAGCCCATGTTTCCATATCCCCAAGGGTCCCAGAAATATCTTTCATGGCTTCAAAAACAACTTTTTGTTAAATCTAGGACCCGATCAATTTCGCACCTTGTGTTTGGTTGTTAGGTCTCTGTAGCCTCTTGACTCTACAACAGGCCCTACCCTTTCAAAATCGACCACTTTGAAGAGCCCACGCCACGGCCACGAGAAACAAGCAGTCAAGAGCAAGTATTTTCCATTCACTTTTTAATTTTCTACCATTTCTTACACAGGAGAGTGGGGAAGGGGTGTGTTGGTCACTTTTGTGTCGCTGAGACCAAATACCTGACCTAAACAATTTACAAAGGAAGGGTTTATCTTGGTTCACAGTTTTAAGTCTGTGGTCAGCTGCTTCCAAGGCAGAGACATTGTAGTAGAAGGGCCTGGAGGAAGACAGCTTCTCACTGCGTGGCAGCCAGGAACAGAGACTGGGGACCAGACATAGTCCTCAAGGTCACAACTCCATGGCACACCCAGAGGTATCCTTTACTATTCTCTTAGGCACTTCTCTAATCCAACCAAGTTGACAGTTAAGATTAACAGAGCCTCTCTTGAGAAGGTAGGATCCTCATTGTCTCCTGTTTTCAAATGAAAACTTGGGCTGGATTCAGAGACAACTGGAGCATGCCCACTTCCTACCTGGTCTGGGATGCGTTCCCAGAAGCAGGGAAGGGAGAGATCAAAGACATAATTTCCACTCCCACTAGCCTGCTCTGACCTTGAGAGAGGAGCGCCCTACCCTAGACCTTGAAAGGGACTGGACATTTATCCTAGGCACCCAGAACCCTTCCTGGCCTGTCCCCCAGAGAACTGTTCTTGACCTTTGAGAACAAGTAGAAATGCATGGCCATGACCCAGAGCCAAAGATCAATCCTTCCAACTTTGTTCAGTGATCCAATTTTGATATCAGGTAACCAGGCCAGCTGGCTGATCTGCTGGGGGTAGTGTTTATAAAAGGCCCCTCGTATGCAGCCAGAAACCCCAGATGGGTGCCCACAATCCTGCTAACCTCCTGCACCTGCCTCCACAGGTACTTCTAGGGCTTGTTTTCCAGTCTTGGGCCCTCCATCATGGATTCTGGGGACCAGCAGAGATGGAGAAATGAGAACTATGGGGAAGGATAGGAGGCCTGAATCCTGGTCCTTGCTGATCAGTGCTGGACTCAGTTTCTCCATTTTTAAATGAGTGGCTCAAAATGGGCCACCTCTAAGGACTCTCACTGGGTGAAGAGAAGGGGAGGGAAGGTAGCCTTGGCCTGGCTGCAGTCACCTCAGCCTCCAGGACTGGGAGGAGATGAGGACTGTCCTTGTAGGAGGTGCTGCTTCTTGGTGTTGAGGAAGGGTTCTATGGGGTAAGGACCATCACAGGTCATGTGCTCTGGGGTCCAGCTGTGAGCCAGGCTCAGAACCCGTCAGTGCTTCCTAAACAGGCAACCACCTGACTGTACTGTCTCCATCCTCAGCTGTCCCCTCCTTCCTTCTCCTTTGCAGTCAGTGCCGATGCCACTATCCTGGTTGCTTCCCTTCTCAGCCATGGAGCTGCTCCTGACTGCCACCATCTTCTATTTGGTACTCTGGGTGGTCAAAGCCTTTAGGCTCCAAGTCCCCAAAGGCCTGAAAAGCCCTCCAGGGCCCTGGGGGTGGCCACTGATCGGGCATGTGCTGACCTTGGGCAAGAACCCACACCTGGCACTGACCAGGCTGAGTGCGCGCTACGGGGATGTGCTGCAGATCCGCATTGGCTCCACGCCCGTGGTGGTGCTGAGTGGCCTGGACACTATTCGCCAGGCCTTGGTGAGGCAGAGTGATGACTTCAAGGGCCGGCCCGACCTCTACAGCTCCACCTTCATCTCTGATGGCCAGAGCATGATTTTCAACCCAGATTCGGGTCCCGTGTGGGCTGCCCGCAGGCGCCTGGCACAGAGCGCCCTGCAGAGTTTCTCACTGGCCTCAGACCCAGCTTCTGTGTCCTCCTGCTACTTGGAGGAACATGTAAGCAGGGAGGCTGAGCATCTTGTGACCAAGCTGCTGGATCTCATGGCAGGGCCTGGGTGCTTCGAACCCTCCAGCCAGATAGTGGGGTCGGTGGCCAATGTCATCGGGGCCATGTGCTTTGGGAAGAACTTTCCCCAGACCAGCGAAGAGATGCTCCAAATCGTGAACACCAGCAAAGAGTTTACGGAGTTTGCCTCCTCTGGCAACCCTGTAGATTTCTTCCCCATCCTTCGATACCTGCCCAACCCCATGCTGCAGCAGTTCAAAGACTTCAACAAGCGGTTCCTGCAGTTTCTGCAGAAGACCGTGCAGGAGCACTACCAGGACTTTGACAAGGTGTGCCTGGATGCATCTGTCCAAGGTGGCCACCCAGCGGGGGTGCTGCCAAGGCCTGGAGAGGGAAGGGGGTTCAGGGACAGCTAGGAGCAGTGTGTGACCAGGGCCATCCCTCCACACTCTGGGCCTCCATTTCCTTATCCTTACAGCCTCCCTCTGGAATCTCCTCATAACTCTAGAAGCAAAGGCTGTGAAAGGCACCCTGGCAGGGCCATGCAACATGAGAGGCCATTGTTAGGAGTGGGAAGGATTTTGTTCTACAGGAACCTGAACCCCAACAGCACCTAATCCCCAGCTCGATGTCACTGTATTTCCCGGTGTTCATGCCAACCCCTTCCTCCTTCGATCTAGACTCCAGGGGTTACCAGGAAGAAGGGTCAAAGGGGTATTAATAACACGTTGAGCCCAGGCAGGTGGCCTCACTTCTGCCATGTACCCTTCCTTGCCCACAGGGACTTTCTGGGTGGGCTGGGGCTGGGCCCAGCCTTTGTCCTGGGACTGACCTCAAACATGTGTCCCCTCAGAACCATGTCCAGGACATCGCCAGTGCCCTGTTCAAGCACAGTGAAGAGAGCCCCCATGTGAATGGCGACCTCATCCCCCGCAAGAAGATTGTTAACCTGGTCAATGACATCTTTGGGGCAGGTAGGAGCCCGAGCCCTGCTGCTCACATGTACCCATACCCAGCCCAAGCCCATCACCTATCGGCCTTCTTCTGTGTGACACAGTGACCCAACCTGCCATCTACTTCCAGCAGGAACTCTATTAAGCTCCCCTCTTTCCCTAGACCTGTTTTCCCTGAGTGGTAACAAGTCCTCCAATCAGTATCCCAAGCCAAGGTCGAGGAGAGTCAGCCCCTGCCCTGGGGAAAGATAATGCCCATTCTTCACCTGGTAGATGCTGGGACTCACTGTCTCCTCATCCCTGTCTCCTCTATCCCCTCACTTGGACTGCCCAGGTTTTGACACAGTCACCACCGCCATCTCTTGGAGCCTCTTGTACCTCGTGACGAAGCCAGAGATCCAGAAGAAGATCCACAAGGAGCTGGGTATGGAGTGCCTCAGCCCTGTCCACAGCAGGCACCCTGGGCCTCGGGTCATTTGTTCAACCTAAAAATACCTGTTAGAGCCAGGCATGGAGGTGTACACCTGTAGTCCCAGCACTCAGAAGCTGAGGCAGGAGAATTGTTGCCAGTTCCAGGCCAGCCTGGGCTTCATATAGCATGACCCTATATCAAAATAAAGATAACTATTATGTCCTTGCTATGTGCAAGACCCATTGCCGGATAATGTAAGGTGGATTTGTAGGGTCTCAAACATGCAGAGATGCAGTCACACACAGTGACAAAATGGTACAAGTGGGGGACATGAACGCCATGTGGTAGTCAGCACAGCTGACTGAGCTCTGCTTGACCCCATTTCTGCAGATGCCGTGATTGGCCGGGACCGAAAGCCCAGGCTGGCAGACCGACCCCAGCTGCCCTACATGGAAGCCTTCATCTTGGAGGTCTTCCGATACTCTTCCTTCCTGCCCTTCACCATCCCTCACTGGTGAGTCCCACCGTGTCCCCTTCCTTGCTTCTCAGTGTCTCCCCTGGGCTCTTCTCTGGGTCTCTTTCCAGGCCATGACACCAGCTCTCCGTGGACCTCCAGCCCCTTGTTCTGGCCGTTCATGATCCGATCATGCAACACCCAGGAGAAGGTCACTCTTGTGACCTCAGCAGTCACACATGCCCTCTGCTGTAGCTGGATCACCCCACCAGCCCTCCAATTCAGTTTATGCCTGGTCAGATTTCTAGCCACATCCTCTGTGCTTGCCCAGGGTCAACCCCAACCCAAGACTGACATCCACTTCCGCCCACATATTGGTTCAGTTATTCCTGGAGCAAGAGGCTTGAAACAAGGTGGCTCTGATGGCATGCAGCTGTAATCCCAGCACTCTAGGAGGCTGAGACATGAAGATCACAAGTTCTAGCCCAGCCTGGGCAATTTAGCAACCCTATTTTAAAAAGTAAAGGGCCAGGAATTTAGCACAAGTGCCTGCCTGGCAAGTGCGAGGTCTTGAGTTCAATACCCAATACCAAATAAATAAACAAACAAATAAAAAGATGGTGTGGTGGCCCATGCCTATAATTCCAGCACTTGGGAAGCTGAGGCAAAAGGAACACCATGAGTTCGGGGTCAGTTTGGGCTACACAGTGAGATCCTGTGTCAAAAAAAAAAAAAAATTAGAAAAGTTTGAAACTGGAACCAGATTGCCTGCTTTTTGGTGCCAAAGAATGGCCCAGGATACAACTGGGGACAGAGAAGTCTCTGCACCATGTTGAAGTGGGGGAAGAGACAAGATAATCCCTTCTCCTCCCGACTCCTCAGTCTCCCGTGGAGGGGCACAGAGACAGTAAGGGACAGATGGGGTAAGCGTAAGGGAGAAAGATGCCCCAGCTTCCCAGCACACAGGCATAACACGCTTCTCTTCCCGCCTCAGCACAACCAGGGACACCATACTGAATGGCTTCTACATCCCCAAGGACCGCTGCGTGTTCATCAACCAGTGGCAGGTCAACCACGACCCGTGAGTTTTCGGGCACAGAGAGGACTTCCGATTTTACTGTTGGTCGGGGGCACTGTTTATCACCTGGAAATGTGATAACATGCAAGGGATAGACCCTCGATTGCTGCAGGGTTTATGCTAAGGACAAAAATTCACATCAGTACGTGCTTTGGTGCCCATAATATATGATCAGGAAGTCTGCTGCAGAGTTTGTTGCACCCTAATTCTACTTTGATGAGTAAGGGAGGGATACGCCCGGTTCTGATGGGAGTGACAGGGGAGACAATTCTTTGGAAACCCTACTTTACAGCAAGGGGACCACAAAATGTACTATCCACCCTGCAACACTTCTAAGTGTGAGAGTGCTACCCAGATTTGTGCTTTCAATAATTATCTCATAGCCAGGTGTGATAGTACATACCTGTGATCCCAGCACTGGGGAGGCTGACGCAGGAGGACCACTGTGAGTTTGAGGCCTAAGCTACTTAGTGAGTTTAAGGTTAGTCTGAACTACATAGCAGAGATCCTGTCTCAAAAAAATAATAATAATTTCAAACACTAAGTATAAACTAGAGGTTTCTGTGATTCCCTCTGCTGCCAGCATATTTTGAGGAGGATAACAATGAACATCTTCGTCATTATTACTGGGTTTTTTTGAGACGGCTCTTGCTATGTAGCCCAGGATGGCCTTGAATTCTTGGTGATTCTCCTACTACCTGGCTTTATTTCCCTTCTTTTAATCTTTCTTTCTTTTTTGTGGTACTAAATTTGAATCAGGGCCTCTGACTGAGCTACATCCCAATACTTCATTTCATTTTGAGATAGGGTCTGGTCTCAAACATGAAATACCCACACTGTGTCCTCCCAAGCCACTAAGATTACTGGAGTATCACAGTGTCCCCAATTCTTTCGTTTTCTTTTTTTCTTGGCTTTTTGAAAGACAGCGTCACTGTATAATCCCAACTGGCCTTGAACTCACACTGTAACCCAGGCTGGCCTCCTGAGTGCTGGAATCACAGCCATGTACCATCATGCCTGGCTGTTTCCCTTTGATAAAGCATTATTTCTTCATCATAACAAATTAATATTAAAAACTACCGTCTTCAAGACTAATCTTTGTTTTGTGTGAGTTCGAGGCCAGCTTGGGCCACATAGTGAGTTTAAGGTCAGCCTGAAATACATAGTGAGATACTGTCTCAGAAGGAAGGAAGGAAGGAAGGAAGGAAGGAAGGAAGGAAGGAAGGAAGGAAAAGAAAGAAAGAAAGAGAAAGAAAGAGGCATCAAGCTTATTGGTTTTGTTCTGTCCACTAAGCCTCCAGCGCCCTCACTCTATTCAGATGTTGTTCTTGACAGAAGGCCACTTGGGAGCCTCCCTGGGCTTCCTGGCCCCCCCAGCCCACGAGGTCCTCTGCTCTCTGCAGGAAGCAGTGGGAGGATCCCTTCGAGTTCCGCCCTGAGCGATTCCTTTTGGCCAACAACACGGCTGTCGACAAGACCTTGAGCGATAAGATACTGCTGTTTGGTCTGGGCAAGCGCCGGTGCATCGGAGAGACGCTGGGCAGGTGGGAGGTCTTCCTGTTTCTGGCCATCCTGCTGCAGCAGCTGGAGTTCAGCGTGCCACCTGGCGTGAAGGTGGATCTAACCCCCGTCTACGGGCTGACCATGAAGCCACCCCATTGCCAACATGTCCAGGCAAGGCCACGCTTCTCCAAATGAAGGAGCCCCAGCAGCCAATGGAGAATGGGTACTCACAGGGGCTTGATCTTGTTTCTCTCTTTTAATCCCAGTACTGAGGAGGCTGAGGCAGGATAGCTCTAAGTTCAAAGCCAGACAGCGTTACATAATTCAGGGCCAGCATGAATTACATAGTGAGATCCTGCCTCAAAAAAAAAAAAAAAAAAAATCAGGGGGCTGGAGGTTTAGCTCAGCGGCATAAGCTCCTGCCTTGGAAGCAGGCAGTCATGAGTTCGATCCCCGGTACCGATAAAAAGGAAAAAGACAAAAAAAAAAAAAAAAAAAAAATCAAAGAACACTTTACTGAGATCCTCTTCTTAGGCCACAGAACTCACCTCCTGTAGGGTAGCCATGCCACCCCACTTTCATCTGCACTTCCGCTCTGTCTGCTCTGCACTTGGCATATAAATGAAACCATGCAATCTGTGGTCTGTGCCTGTCCTTTCTCAAGTTAGAATAAAGAGGAAAGAGTCAGCAAAATCTTTCCAGGGCCCCTCCGCACCTCATCAAGCCCTGGTTTCTTGCCATTGGCATGGATGGGTTGGTCTCTTGATGTCCACCTTCCTCCTGTTCCCATATGACCCACATCTGAGAGCTTGGAGGGGACACAGAGGAGACGCTGCAGCTTGGGAGTTAAATCTAGATGGACAAGTAAGGATCCTTCCTGCCCCATCCCAGAGCACAGAGCGTGTGACTTCTCACCAGCTCTTCCTTTGTCCTTTTCACAGACAAGGGAGAGCAGGCTCCCGAGGTTCTTCTGGTACCTGCAAAAGCTCTAGGTCTCCTGGAGACAGAAAATATAGCTCACTGGGTGGAAGGAAGTATTTGCACAAACATCTATCTGACAATAGATTAATACCTAGGCATTGAGACATGATGGTAATCCCAGCACCCAGAAGGCTGAGACAGGAGGGTCACCATAAATTTGAGACCAGTTTGGGATACATTGTCTCGAACATTGTCTCTAAAACAGAAACAAAGGCCAGGGATACAGTTCTGTGGTACGGCACATGCCTGGCAAGCACAAGTTGCTCTGTTCAGCGCCGGTACTAAAAATAATAAATAGGGTCTGGGGATTTAGCTCAGTGGCATAAGCACCTGCCTTGCAAGCAGGTAGTCGTGAGTTCGATCCCTGGTACCGATAAAAAGGAAAAAGACAAAAAAAATAAATAAATAAAAATAATAAATAAATTAAATAAATAAATAAAAACAGAAAGAAACAAAGGATTAATACCCAGAATGTAAAACTAACACTCACAACTCAATATCAAAGCAACAACTCAATGCAAAAATGACCACAGATGGCTTATTTAAAAAAAGTGGGGCCGGGGATTTAGCTCAGTGGCACAGCTGCCTACTTGGCAAATGCAAGGTCATGAGTTTGATTCCTGGTACCAAAAAAAAAAAAATTACACAAATTGTCCATAAGCACTCGAAAAGGTGTTCAGAGCCCTTACTCATAAGGGAGGTGGGAGGCAGAACCACACTCCCCGCCTCTAGGAAGGCTGTGATTTTCTTCTAGATGGGAAAGTGTCAGGTGTGACTGGCTGGAGAATTGTGACCCTGCCCATGGGGGTGTGGAAAGGTGAAGAGAGAGTTCCTCAAGGCAGTTCCTGAAGGAGCTAAACCCAGGGCCACCACAGGTCTAGCAGCTCTGCGTGTAGGTGCGCATCAGAAGGGTCCGCCCGGGGTGGGTGGGGGCAGGGATTTAGTTCAGTGACATAAGCACCTGCCTGGTAAGTGAGACATCATGAGTTTGAACCCTGGTACCAAAAAAAACAGGCCTTCTTAGAAGGCAGCAGGTGGAAATGCCCCATGCCCACAACCAGAGGAACAGAGGCTTTATTTTTTATTTATTTTTGCTACTGTTGTTTTTTCAGTTTTGTTTTTGAGACAGAGCCTTGCAATGTATGCCAGGCCAGCCTTCAACTCATGAGGATCCTCCTGCCTCAGTCTCCTGAGTGCTGGAATTATAGACTTGTGCCACCGCGCTCAGCTAACTGGCTGTTTTAAAGTGTGGTAAAATACACAGAGAATATTGTTCTGCCATGAGAAGGAAAAGAGTTCCAGTCCAGGCTACCTGGTGGAGAAACCCTGTGAAGTATTCTTATTATGTGAATTAAAGCCAGGAACAAAACCAAAGACATAGGTATGGTCTGGTTTCACTTACACCAGGTGCAAGGAACAGAGAGAGAAGGGAGGCTGCTGGGGGGAAAGAGGAGGCGGGCAGAGATGGGGGTTGTTATTTAATGAATGTGGAACTTCTGAGAGGGATGCAGAGAGTTCTGGGAATGGATTGTGGAAAGGGTTGCACAATACTACAAATTTACTTAGTCTCAGAACTGTAGGCTCAAATGGTTTCATTTGTAAGTTTGGGTATTTATTTAACCACAATCTTTTTTTGTTTGTATGTTTTTGAGGTAAGACCTAGCTCTGTAGTCCAACCTGTCCTGAACTCATTTTGTAGCTTAGGCTGGCCTCAAACTGCTGTGATCCTTCTACCTCAGCCTCCCGAGTGCTGGGATCACAGGCATATGCTACCATACCTGGCTACCACAATCTTTTGTTTGTCCGTTTTTTGGTTTTTTTCGTACCGGGGATCGAACTCACAACCTCATTCTTGCCAGGCAGGCACTTATACCACTGAGCTAAATCCCCAGCCCCTGTTCGTTTTGTAAGAGAAGGTCTTGCTATATAGTGCAGGCTGACCTCAATTCTGTAGCTCAGGCTGGCCTTGAGCTCACAGTGATCCTCCTGCCTCAACCCAAGTGTTGGGATTACAGGCATGAGCCACTATACCCAGCTCACAAAAAAACATTGTGTGTGTGATTTTTGTTTAAAAAAGATGAACTCTCAGTGCCACAGAAAGACAGAGGAACTTTCAATATGTACTGCTAAGTGAAAGGTGACATACTATGTGATTCCAACTCTGACATTTTGGAAAAGGCAAAACTATGGAAACAGGGGCTGGGGATTTAGCTCAGCGGCATAAGCGCCTGCCTTCCAAGCAGGCAGTTGTGAGTTCGATCCCTGGTACCGATAAAAAGGAAAAAGAAAAAGAAAAAAAAAGCTATGGAAACAGAAGAAGACCAGGGAGGACTAAGTGTTAGCTCCGTGGTATGGTGCGTCACCCCCCAGTACCACAGCAAAAAAAAAAAAAAAAGATTAAGAGTTCAAGGCAAGGGGCTGGAGATTTAGCTCAGTGGCATAAGCGCCTGCCTTGCAAGCAGGCAGTCATGAGTTTGATTCCCGGTACCGGGAAAAAAAAAAAAAAAAAGAGTTCAAGGCAATAGATGGATGGCTCAGAAAAGTAGAGAGATGTTTAGGGTTGTGCAAGTACACTCTACACTGCAGTAACGATGGAGACTATTGGTCATACATTTGTCGCAACCCACAGAACAAGCTGAGTGTCGTGGCCTATACTTGTAATATAAGCAGCCTGAGAGGCTGAGGCAGGAGGATGACAAGTTTGAGCCCACTGACCTAGCAAAACTTTGAGAAATAAAGAAAGGCTGGGGATGTAGCTCAGTACAAAGACCCTAGGTTCAATTCCTAATACTTTTTTTAAAAAAAGAGTTCCCACCCCAGCTTGGTGGCACATGCCTGTACTCCCAGCACTTGGGAGGCTGAGGTAGGAGGATTGCCACGAGTTCAAGACCAGCCTGGGCTACATAGTAAGTTTAAGGCCAGCCTGGACTACACAGTAAGACCTTGTCTCAAAAATAAATAAATAAATAAATGTTGCTCTGGTGATTTTTTTTCCTCTCTTTTTATCGGTACCAGGGATTATGCCGCTGAGCTAAATCTCCAGCCCCTGGTGATGTTTTTTTAATAAGTGATGTGACTTTATTTTTGTTTGGTTCGTTGTTTTTGATTTTTTTGAGACAGGATCTCACTATGCAGTTCAGGCTGGCTTCAAATTCACTATGTAGCTCAGGCTGGCCTCAAACTCCTGGAAATCTTACTGCCTAAGTCTCCCAAGTGCTGGGATTACAGGCTTACACAAACTTTTTTTTTTTTTTTTTTTTTTTGGTACCAGGAATCAAACTCAAGACCTTGCATTTGCCAGGCAGGTGCTGTGCTACCTAGATAAATCCATGGCCCCTTCTAGGGGCTGTGACTTTGACGAAAATAGTATAGCTCAGAAGTAAAATCAGAAGCGCTGTGCTGGGTCCCAGGAAAGAAGCGTCTCTTGGTGCCATCTGTGTCTTCAAACCCAGGGCAAAGGCAAGGAGCCTGCAGTTGGGAGAGCCAGCCCACTCCCCAGCAGAGCAGGGCACAACTCTGTCCTGAGGACCCCATCTGAGGGGGAACAGGGTGCAACAGCATGAGACATCCTGTCACCAGAGAAGTAGGACAAGGTCCTGCCCAGGAGCCCCAGTCTCCAGAAGAAATGCTCCTGCCCAGGCTACTGCCATCCAGGAGAGGAATTCAGCCTGTCACTAGGACATTGCTCCCACCCACACCCCCAGTCTGTGGGCAGAGACAGAGCCTGGCCCTGGGAACTTTAGTCTGAGGGTGACATGACACCTCTTCCAGAGCTCTGGAGGGAGGTCCCCCATGCACCCCTGTGGCACATATAAAATACACGATGTTGAACCAGTCATGGTGGCACACCCCTACAGCCCCAGTGTTTAGTAGGCTGAGCAGGAGGATTTCTGTGCATTTAAGGCCAACCTGAACAACATAGCAAGACCCTGCTTTAAAATAAAATGAAATGACACTGCCACACATGTCAACCCAAGTTCCAGTGTGGCCCAGCTCCCTGGAGAGCTTCAGAGACAGGCTGTGGTGGCCTTGGGTTACCCAGCGGATACCACCTCTCATGGTCCTGTGTGGACCAGCGTTAGCCTAAGCTTCTCATGAGCCTCTCGCTCCCTTCACCCCCAGAGCAGCTTCCTCCAAGAGTCCTTTGATCCCTGAGCAGATGGACCCAATCCCTGGGTCCCCCTCACCCATACCCACCCAGTGACTCTTGTCTTAGGACAGATTATTCCTGGGGTAATCTGGCCAATCTTTAACTGGTTGGCCAAGGGCCCCTTCTCCAAAAGCAGAAAGACCAGGACATGAGACTTTGCCCCTATGCTTGTTATTTTGTCCCCACAGTGGGCCAGGGACAGACGGGGCCAGTTGTATCCTGGCCCTACCAACCCTTCCTGGACGCACACATTGTTTCTGATGGACTTTGTGACAGCCTCAGGAAGTGGGCACCATGAGATCATCTTGAGATGGAAGCCAAGACTCAGGTCATGAGCAGTGAGGAGGAGGTCAAGGGACTCAGGACTCAGCCCCACACCCCATCTCAGGCCCTCTCTGCCTGTGACTCCCTCCATGTCAGAAAAATCTCCACAGAACAGCCACCATGTGATAAAGAGAGGGATGTGATGCACCAGGTCACCTGAGAACCATGCTCACAGGTCTCGGGTCACGGGTTAGCTGGCATTGGGCCCCTCAGGTATTGTGCGCCCCACTCTGACTTGGAAGGAGGAGAGCAGCCAATGGCAGGGGCAGCTCTTGGTAGGGAACAGGACAGCAGGTCCAGGAGGGACAGTGGCACAGAGGAAAACTGCCTAGACACAGGAGTCACAGTGGAGTCTACCGTACCCTCACCTGCTCCCCAGGACTCTGAGCTGGACCTCCTGGGCCACGGTCTCCATCCCAAATCTGCTCACTGCTTCCTGCAGGGAACAGCAACTTTGGATCCCTTCACCCCCAGAGCAGCTTCTCCCCAGAATCCTTTGATCCCTGTGCAAATGGACCCAGTCCCTGGGTCCCCCTTACCCACATTCACCCAGTGACTTTTGCCCTAGGACTGATCCTTCCTGGGGTAAGGAATGTTCAGGTGAGGAAGGAACCCGAGGCCAGCATAGACTGAAACTATGTGAGCATAAGTCAGGTGGGGGCAGGGGATTGAGAGAGGCTGGATCTTTCTAAATCCACTTCTTTATTTAATTGTTTACATTTATTATGTTTTATCTTTTCAGACAAGATCTCGCTATGAGGTGCAGACTGGCCTTGAACTTGCAGCGATCCTCCCGCCTCAACATCCCTAGTGCTGGGATAACAGGCATGTACCACCATGCCCAGCCACTTCTTTGGTTTTAGAATAATGTGGCAACATTTGATGGCATCCTCAGGCCACCCCTTCACCTCCACAATGCCCACTCCAACCTGGCCTTGACTCAGGTAAGCCCCAGCCCTCACAGGACTTGGGGAAGGCACAGGTGATGAGGCCAGAAGCTTCCTTGTCTGGGTGCAAATCCACTGACCCCAGCCAGCCACAGAGGTTTTCCCACCCTGCAGCTGGGGTGATAATCCCACCCCCAAAGGCTGCCAGAAGTACAGTGAGGAGCCATGGAGTGTCAGTGCCAGGCAGGTGCATCATATACATGCACGCACAGACACATGCACACTCACTTGCACATGCACACACACACACACACACACACACACACACACACACACAAGCATATGCACCAGGCATGTCAGGCAGGGGCACCCAGGGCCAGTGTGGTCAGCACAGCCTCAAGCAGGTAGGGCACACATGTCTGAGCCCACGTTCCCCAGCACTCTGCTCTTCTCATTGGATCTTACCAGAGCCCAGTTCAGCCCACTTCCTTCTGTTCCCCCCACTGCCTGGCGGACTGGGGGTGCTTGCGTGCCAGGGAACAATGGGCCTTGGCCCCTTCCAGCAGTCTTTGCGTGAGAAGGAGCCAAGGAAGGAAGCTAAGCTCCTGGTGGGACAGCTGAGTCCCTGTGCTGAGTCCCAGGGACACCTGAGTCCCTGTGCTGTCCTTGGTGCTCCCTGTCCCATCTGGATGGCCTGAGCCCTCTGTGGCTGGGCTGGGGCCCCAAAACTCCAGGGCCCATTCTCATTCAACCCTGGCCCCATCCTGAAGTGCTGAGCACTCTGAGGAGCAGCTGGGTGAAGCCAGCTAGGGTCCCAAGGGCTGAGCCAGATGAGACAGGGCAGCACATGCTGAAGAGGCTGAGCTGTCTACGTCACATTCAGGGACAAGATCAGGGCCTCAGAGCTCACAGCTGGGTGGAGGGGGACCCTCTTCTCCCATGGCTCAGCTCAGGCCCATTGGTAGAGCTGCACCTGCACCTCTGCCTACACCCGGCTCCTGTGCCTCCCCATCACCTGGGGGTTGTGACACAGGGCAGAGGGACGAGACCAGCTGGAGGTCGGGTGGCTCCATGCTGCTACCCATACGCATAGGACAGCTCAACTCTGGGGATCAGTGTCCCCCAGAAGCCAGTGCTAGGGGATGAGACAGAGCAACGGCCTGAGGCATGGTGGGGACTCCGGCCTGAATCCCACCCCGTGCCTCATTTTCCCCAAGGTCACCCCAGGAATTCCAGGCAGGGTCTTAGCTCCACATCCATGGAAGTGGCACTGCCAGTTTCAAATTCCCAGGCCTTGGTATGACAATGGCTGGGAGCAGGAGGAGCAGCACCCTCTCCCCAACCTACCATCAGGCTCCCCACATCCAGCTCCACTCTGGAGGAAGCCAAAATTCCAGGTTCTCACAGCAAGAGGACTGGGGGGGGGGGCGGCTAGAGACAGCACACAGGCCTGCAAACGCTTTACCTGCCAGTGGTATACACCTGGTACACTCACGCACACACTTGGCCATGCCTGCCCCTCAAGCACATGCAGACATGAGCCCTCCTCACGGAGCTCTGCAGGTATCAGGGTCAGCATGCAATGGGCTCATCCATGCCCCAATGGGCCTCTTGGCTGGGGACCCCAAGAAGTACTTTACAGAATCCACCCACCTCTACCTTAGACTTAGAGGATGCTAGGGGTGTGGCTGGGCCCGGGGGTGACAAGGAGTTGTCACACAGCCATGCAGCTGTGCATGTTCATTTCCAGCAATACCACCAATTCATTCCTTCACACTAGTTCTTTTTTGGGGGGGGGTGTATTGGAGATCAAACTCATGACCTTGAACTTGCCAGGCAGGCACTTATGCAGCTGAGCTAAACTCCCGGCCCCAACACAGGATTCTTATTAAACAACAACAGCTTGGTGCAAGGGTATGCACCTGTCATTCTAGCGTCTCAGGAGGCGGAAGCAGGAGGATCCTGGAAGGCAGAAACTCAGGCCAAGCTGGGCAACATAGCAAGACCTCAACTACTAAATAAATCAAGAAATTTCAAATCAGTGAGGGAAAAATATATTACTCAATATTTCGTGTTGGAAAAAAAACTGGCTCCAACCCCTGAACACTAAAGTAAATTCAGAGGGATTGCAGATTTAAAAGTTGGAAATAAAACCATACAGAGCCAGAAGAAAACAAAAATACAGGAGCTAATGAAACTGATTTTTAAACGTAGTCTGAAAGTGGAAACATAAGCCTTTCTAAGCGTGACAAGAGTCCGAGAATGTGGAAGAAAAGATTGCTTCTACTTCATAAAAATAACTTATTTCGAGTCACACAGCATGAATCAAGCGAGCAGGCCCGCCACTGCGAGCGGTGAGCGCCCCCTCCAGCCTCCCCCTGGCACCCGACTGGGACCCGGGAGAGGCTGAGGTCCCTGCTCCACGCAACGCCCCGGTACTGCGTCCCCTGGCGGCACCCTTCCGCAACTGCACCGCCCGGCGAGTCCCAGCTCCCGGCTGAGCCTTGGAAAATAATTCCTGTATTAAACCTTCCCCAAATTAGTAAAAAAGAAAAAAACAAACAAACAAACAAACAAAAACCTTTCTCAAATTAATGGGCCCCTAAATGATGCACAAATAAAAGGTTACTTCCCTTAATTTTCAGAGATCCTATAAGAAAACAGCAATCCAACAAAAAATAGTGAACATGAATTGTCAGTGGAGGAGGAAATTGTGAATGTGTTTTAAAAGTATAAAGCAGGGGCACCTGCTTGGAATCAAGCTACTTGAGAGGCTGAGGCGGGAGGATCACTTGAGCTCAGGAGTTGTAGACCAGTCTGGGTGACCCAGTAAAATCGCATCTCAAAAAAAAAAAAAAAAATACAGCTGTGGTGGTACACACCTGTAATCCCAGCACTAAGGAGGCTGAGGCAGGAAGATCACTGTGAATTCGAGGCCAACCTGGGTTACAAAGTGAGTTCAAGCAGCCTGGGCTACATAGCAATAAATAAAATCAAATAAAAAATAAAAAGGGCTTGGAGTATAGCTCAGTGGTTATGGACTTGCCTAGTTGCCTACCACCAGTTCTGGGCACAATCCTCCCTGCCCACCTCCCAACCAAAATATCTGCTTAATCCTTGTTTGTCCAGCCCGTGTTGCTGGCACCACCCTTGTTATTGATCCTGAACACCTTTCTTATTAATCCCCAAGGCAAAGATGGTTGGATCAGCACAATTCACCCAATCTTCCTCCTCCTCCTCCTCTGCCTTTGAACCCGCCCTGCCTCAGCCTTGGGAGCCACCTGTTGTTCATGTCAGTGCGGCAGCGCTCTGCAAAGCAGCCTCTCCGTTTGTTATTTTAGCTGACACAGTATTCCACTAATTCTAGCAAGAGTGAAAATGACTAAGCAAGTTAGGAAAGAACCATGCAAAAACACACCATGCCTCGAACGATGAGCTGGGACAAAGTTACAGTCTTGCCACCACTCATGTTTTCAGCACAGTTGTATTTTAATATATGCAGAGACACCCGGATGAGGGCTGAAAAAAGGTAAGCTTCTTCTCCAGGCAAAGCAACAGATGCCTAAGGGTGTCAGCTTGGCAGACTCCATCCTTTCCTAACTTTTGGATGTTGTATTATGCGTGTAGATTCCCTATTTCAAAAGAATAATTCCTAAACTAGGCACAGTGACACATGTCTGCAATCCCAGCACTCAGGAGGCTGAGACAGGAGGATTGAGAGGTCAAGGCCAATTTGGGCTTCATAGAGAGACCCTGTTTCAAATGGACATGAAAACCAGTAGTCATTTATATTAGATTTATTGAATATCTATTATGCATAGCTGCTGTCTCCACTGGCAGCCTTGGCTATGACCATGAACAAGATAAGCATCATTGTTTTCTGATTGCATAAAGTTTATGGTCCAGTGAAACCAGAGATGATAAATGCACAAATTAGTACCCAAGTACACATTGCAATGAATGCTGGGAAGAAGCGAAGCTGTGAGGGAGAGGCAGAAATGACTTTAAAAATTCTTTTTTTTTTTTTTTTTTTTTTTGGCACGGGGATGGAACTCATGACCTTGCACTTACCAGACAGGTGCTTATGCCGCTGAGCTAAATCCCGGGCTAAAACTACATTAGGCAACTTTTTTTTTAAAATCAGTACCAGGGATCAAACTCATGACCACACATTTGCAAGGCAGGTGCTTATGCCATTGAGCTAGGGCTGAGGATTTAACTCAATGGCATAAGCACCTGTCTTGCAAGCAGGCGGTCGTGAGTTCGATCCCCGGTACTGATAAAAAAGAAAAAGACAAAAAAAAATCCTCAGCCCTAGAAATGACTTTAGATGGGCCAGTCACACCATGTGCACACAAGAGAGAGCCTTCTTGGATGGTAGAATTTTTTTTTAAATTTTTATCGGTACCAGGGATTGAACTCACAACCATATGCTTGCAAGGCAGGCGCTTATGCCGCTGACCTAGTCCCCAGCCCCTGGATGGTAGAATTTAAAGGCAGCAATCTAACTTGTACCCTCTTTCTGTTTTTTTCTCTTTAAAATTTTTTTAAAAAGTAAATAGCATTAAAAAAAGAAAAGCATTCTAAGGTCTTTGCACCAACACACACAAAGGTCCTGAGGCAAGAATGGGTTGACTGTGCCAGTAGGCAAATCAACAACCCTTGAAAGGAGAGAACAGCCTCACCTGTGAAACAGCATACACTCGAGGGGGCGAGAGGGAGGGAGATTCTCAGGAAAGCAGAGAAATCAGAGCTGAAACCTAGGTGTCTGGGCTCTATGAGCTCAGCACTGTCTCTGGGATCAGTTTGGGGACTTTGCAAGGTCACAGTGACCAGCATGGAGGAAGCTGGCCACTCCTCTGGCTCTGCCCTCATCTCAGGGAGCCATGAAGGAGACAAATGAGAAGACAGCTGAGCTGCTACAAGGCATGGTCCCCGCGGGCCTGGGAGGGACCCTCCTCTCCATTGCCACATCCTCTCCCACGCCTTGAAATGTGCTTCTCTTAAAATGCTGCTTTGAAAGCGCACAGCTGGTGCACACACATGTAAGCATCCTTGTGCTGCCGTGAGTGGCACGGATGGCACTGCCAACGCCTTCTCCAAATGCTGCCATTTCTCCCATTCCTTGCTGATAATTTTTTAGCTGGGGGCAATGACAAACATCTGCAATCCCAGCACTCAGGAGGCTGAGGCAGGAGGAGCCCCAGGAGTTCAAGGTCAGCGTGGACTACATCGCGAGCCCCTGTGACCCGTGGGGAGACCGGGACCTCTCCCTCCTTCCTTCACAACTTCATCCCCTCTTCCTGCCCCAGCTCTCTCCGCAGACTTGGAGCCTCCACGCACTGCTGGTCTTCACCTGTCAGGGAGCTACCGTCGTGAGAATGCAGGCTGCGTCTCCCCCTTGTGGCCACTTTGAGGAACGCAAGCTTCCCACAGCTACAGACTGGGGATCCCGCCCCAAATGAGCAACGAAGGAAAAGTGCGTTTGCTTTACAGCTTCAGGGTAGGACTGAAGCCCTTTACACAGCAATTCTAGGAGAGGTCCTAAAAGGGGCCAGAGGATGCGCCCCCCACCTCACCTGCCCCCCCATCATTCCTTGGCCCAAGACTCACCTAGAGCAGAAACCCCTTGAGCAAACTCCCTACCAGGAATTCAACTTCCCTTCTCATTCTATATGCACAGGGAGCTCACTATCTGCAAGGTTGACCTGTGCGGAGGCCACTGGGAGTCAGTCCCCTGAGCACCTTCCTTGCTTGAGGTCTTTCCTGTCACCCAGCCCCACTCTGTCACCACGCACACTGAGCTGATGGGCACCCAGGTGCCAAGGACAGGGCATTCACAGAGCTGGATTCGGCTCAGGCTTGTGCGTGGCACTTGTAGCTCCTACAAAAGCCCATGTGACACCCCAACCTGGCACCATGCCCCCTGTCACAGCCCCTCCCAAGAGCCTGGGCCACGCCAGCTGCCACGGAGGAGGCTCAGGGAAGAATTGTACTTTCTGGAAGCTGAAGTCCGACCTCAGCCTCCCTTCTTGTGCCTCCAACTCAGGGCTGGGAACAGGGGTGGCCTGATCCTCCTGTCTGAATTGCATACAATGGCTGCTCCTTGTGTCTCAATGCACAGGCAGGTGGGAGACACCTCCCCAGCTCACACTGAGTCCTGGGGCCTGGGGCAGACCCTTCCTGGGGCAGTAGGAGCCCAGGCTTTGGGGTGGTTCCGCAAATCAGATGGACAAGAGGTAGATGTCACCGTGCAGGACAATGCTGAGGTGCACACTAATGCCAAAATCCAGCACATATGGTGTCAGCACAGTGGGCTTCCTCCCCCCTCCCTGCCCCAAAGTTCAGGAAAATTCTGGATGTCAACAGTGCTGACAGCCCTACAGCAGGCACGGGAAGCAGTGTGGTGGTGGTGGCTTTGGAATCAGAAAGCTACCAAAGGAAGAGGGCCCTGGGGAGTCCCAGCAGCCTCATGCTCACCCACCTGCCCCCACCAGCAGCCTCTGGGAAAGCCCTTCCAGGAGTCAGAGGGGCCCTGGGTGTTTGTGGAAGGGCCAACTCATTGCACTTTCTGGAAGCCACCTTATCTCCTTCCCGCTGGCTGCTCAGAGCTCCCTACCCTCATCTACCCCGGTCCATCCCAGGCCATCCTGGGCCCTGGACACTCCCAAGTAGATGAGCTGTGGCCCCGGGACTTGTGGAGCCTGAGACTGCGCGAGTGTGCAGAGCTGCCACCAGGCCTTTATAACCTTGCCCTGCCTGGGTCCTTTCTTGTTCCTTTACCCTGGGGATCTGGGCTCTGGCCACCAGGAGGCGCTGTTGCCCCTGAGATCTGCAGAGCCCTGCAGGTTGCGCCAGCAGAGATGAAGCTGTAAGAGAGAAGGCTGAGGCGAGTTCACCGCCCCAGAGCAGGGGAAGACAAGGGCCTTTGTCTGCGGCTGCCATGCATCTCACACTTCCCACGCAAGACCTCACTGCCACCTCGACGGGGTGGGGCTGAGGGCCCAGCCAGGGCTCTAAGTCACAAACTCTGCTGACAGCAAGTAAAAGGCGCTCACAAAAGACAGAGAAGACCAAGCCAGACCTGGCCCAGGGTCCCTGCTGCCCTGCAGATGTCTCCAAGGCCTGTATTTGTTGCACTACACCCTGCAGGCGGCCTTGAGTCCTTGTACCACAGAGGAGCCGCGTGGCATTTGTCCTTCCCATGTGCAGCAAACCCTCTGCTCCCCCAGCAGGCGGTGTCCCCACTCAGGCCAGGCCTGGCTTCCCTCTGAGGCTGCTGCTCTTGGAGACCAGACTTGTGGGGAGCCAAACCATGGCCCTGCTGAGAGAACTTCTTCCCAGCCAGAGCTGTCCTGGCATGTCGGGGAGAGCACCCCTAGGGACCAGAGGGCCAGGAGGCTGAGGCTGGACAACTGCTAAAGTTCGAGGCCAAGCTAGGACACATAGTGAGTTCAAGGCCAGCCTGAACTACATAGTAAGACCTTGTCTCAAAATACAACAACCACAAAAGTGACACCCAGGGACCCCCAGAGAGGATTCAGTCGCTCTTTCATGCCAATAACATGCTGAGCCATTTACTTACTGCTAGGTCTCTGCAGCCAGTGGAGAGAAGGAAGAGAGCACATGCTGCCACCTAAGGGTCACCCCACCTGATGCCCATGCTTCGAAGGGAACCTCTAGGGCTGGACAGGGGCGGGGTGTCTCTATCCGGGCCCCACTTGTGACTCACAAAGACAGCCCCCTCCATACACTGCACTTGCCCTGGCCAGGGTTTATAAGTGCCCCAGATGGCAGCCTGGGACAGGTGTTGGAGCAAGCTTAGTACTGGTACCACGGAAGGGAGGGTTCAAGTGAGGTTTGCAAGAGCAGCAGACCCAAGGCCAGTGCGGTTCTTCCTGCTGGCAGCCAGCCTGGCTGCCAAATCTGCTCTGCAGAGAAGCCAGGCCTCAGCCCCTGCACCCACTGCACAGTGGACACAGTACCCCGAGGCTGTTGCCCCCAGCAGGTGGGTGTCTCGGGGCACAGATGGGCACAGATGGCTTTGTGAGCCAGGATTCCGGGAGAACTGGGTGGCTGAAACCCTGCAGAGGCCGGGTTACTCCAGTGCCTAGAGAGTAATAACTGCCCAGTGCTTGGTACAAGGATCAATGACAGCAAAACTGTAGGCTTGCAAAGCCCCGCCCCACCCTTGGGAGGCTACCGAGGACACAGGTGACAGAGGACTTCAAAGCTTGCTTCAAAAATGAGAGAAAAAATATCCATTGAACTGGCAGTGAATGAAGATGCCTGGACTCAGCCATCAACCTTACATCTTCCCAGCGTAGCAGGAGTCCCCTGAGACATGTGTACTCTCAGTCCCATTCTATTTATCTATTTATTTACTGCGCATTTTTGAGACAGGGTCCTGGTATGTAGCCCACACTGGCTTTGAACTCACAAAGGCTTCCAGGGTCCTCACCTGGGGCCATTGCTACCACTAATAGCACTAAAAGCCACAAAACCAATGAGTGACCAAGCTGCCACCAGCAACTCTCGGGCCACTAGCATGAAGGGAGACCAGAGGTCTCCCTAAGAGGTCTGTCCTCTGGAACAAACTGCTGCCATGCAGGGAACAGACCCTGGCTGCTGTGAAAAGTGCTTGTGCCTACGTGTTCAATAAATATGAACCTTGAGTATCAATAATAAGAATCAAGTGGCTGGCACCTAGTAGTTGCTCAGTAAACGATGGTTCCCTGGGCCCTCGGGGACAGAGAGGCAGGTGGCTGCCACAGGTCACTCAAGAGCCATCCATCTGTGGACAGTGGACAGGCCTGCAGGCCTCCAAACCTAACTCTATGGCACAGACTGAGGACCAGAGAGGACTGACTGGCCTAGTCAGAAGCAAAATCTGTGCCCAGGACCTGGGTCACTGAAGATAAACTCACCCAGCCCCGGGATGAGTGTGGGACTCAGTGTGCACTCAGTGTGGGACTCAGATAGGCCCCCCGAAAGGAGAGGCAGCATCCTCAAGGGGAGCCTGGTAGCTACCTGGTGTGGGGGCCTGGAATGGGAAGAGGTCAGAGGGACCCCGAGAGCCTCTGAAAACTGGGGATGTCAGCCACACTGCCCCCGGCAATGAAGTAACAGGCACCATTTCCTTTCCCTAGAACTCTCGGTCTCCACAGTGGTCTTATTCTTCCAGCCACTTCCCTACAAGACCCCACACACACACCATACCTCCTCACGGAGATCCTACAGCTGGGAAGTGGGGTCACACCAGGCCCAGGTGACCTCCTTCCTATCTGCAACCCGAATCTGAAGCCTCTTTCAGGGGAGGCTGGGTTCCCGAGGGCCTGGGAGGCCACTCCCTGGGGACACTGATATCGAGGCCAAGGTTGGAACCTGGTGCCATCACAAGGGAGGCCAGTGGCCCTCTGCTGGCACCTGCCCCGCAGGAAGCAGGAGGGGACTTTGCTGGAAATCTGCCTTTAATCTTGGCTTCCTGTTTTCTGCCCTGGGGACTGGCCGGGCGTGTGAGTTTCAAACGATTTCACGACTTCACGCCAGCTTCTCTAAACTGTCAACTCCACCAGAGAGGTCGGAGGGTGGAGGGAGGTGGCTGGGGAAGGAGCAGGGGCCCCTGCACCCAGGGAACCTTGGGTGCAGCCTACCCAGCCTCAGGTCCCCAGCACTGTCTCCATATCCCACAACCAGCCTTCCTCTTCTTCACACCTCTGGGACAGGTCCCAGCACCCAGGGACAGGTGGCCTGGCTTGGGGAACCTCATGTGTAGTCCCCAGTGTGGATCTGACATGGCCTGTTTCACAGGAGGCTGGGACTCAGCTTGTTAAAGATCAAGTTCCTGGGTGCTCTTCCAGCCTGTGCCCTCCTCTCGCTCCCTGAGGATCCCGCTGGCTTCTCAGGAGGCCTCAGTCCCTACAGGAGCTGGCCCTGGCTGCCCCCCCCACCCCGTGCCTACCCACAGCTCCCACAAGCACTCCCACTGCTGTGAGCCACGTGGCGACCTCCTGCCGGTCTTCTACCTTCACCTGGTTGCATCCCACCCACCAAGAATCTCTCCATGGTTTCCTCTGCTCATGTAAGAGCTCACACCGAATAAACCTCTGGCTCACAACAACCTCAGACTCCTTTACCTGGCTCTCTAGCCCGGCCACTTCCCCAGTCCTGAGCCCTCTGTGCCTTGGGATCCTTAACCATTGTCCCTTCCCCACTCCACAAGCACCAACCCAAAGCAGAGTCTTGAGTCCACTCCAATCCCTGGGGATGATCACTGCCTTCCTGCCCGGTGTCTGACCGCCCTGCATGTTTATTTCTCCACCTGGATAGGAGCAGTGAGGGTCCTGCTCACCCTTCCAGCACCCCATCCAGGCCAAGAGGCCTAGGTACCCGCGCTTGACAAATGGACCAATGGAAGAAATGTATCCTCAGTTTGGAAGCTGATTGGCTCTGTGGAGGTCTGGGGGTGGAACCTTTGCTGGTTTCCTTCAGGGTTCCATTCCCAGGAACTGGGATTCAGGAAGGTCATGATTGGGGGGGGGGTCACCCTGAAGAGGAAAGGTGGAGCCCGAATTCAAATGTGAGTTTATTTGACTCCAAAGTTCACCTGCTGCGCAAAAGTACATCCAGGGTGAAAACTCAGGTGTAATCAGGTGTCTATGGCAGTAAAGGAAGTAGGGTTGGAAACAACCTGGGCCAGGGATTTTGAGTTTTTGTTTTATTTGGCTTTATTTGTTGGTTGTTGTTTTGTTTTTTGAGATCAAGTCTCACCATGTAGTTTAGGCTGGCCTTGAACTCATTAGAACTCCAAGCAATCCTCCTGCCTCAGTCTCCTGAAGCCTGAGATTACAGGTGTGTGCCACCATACTGTAATCTGCAGAGCATTCAAAGTGCTTTCTGTAGGCCAAGACAACCGATTGCCACTCCTTGTGCCGGGTTATCACTCTATCTCAACCTCAGAGGTAGACAAGGCCAGCCTCACCCCCTTCACCCAGCTGCTTATCTTGCTGAATCTGCAGTCTCAGGTGAGGAGCATGGAGTAAGATCTCACAGAAGGGGGGCTGGGAACTTAGCTCAGCGGCATAAGCGCCTGCCTTGCAAGCAGGCAGTCGTGAGTTCGATCCCTCGTACCGAAAAAGACAAAAAAAAAAAGATCTCTCAGAAAGGAAGATGAGCTCAGAGACCTGAGGTAACCAGCTCAAGGACGCACAGCTGGTAAATGGCTCAGGTGAGATTTGAACACCAAATCCATGTGTTTTTTCACCAGGATGCCTCCCCCATCTCTGAGATGGACTGGAGACCTCCTCAAAGGGCGCCCCTCCCGAGGGCTGGCTCTGCTGGATGGGAAGTGAGTCCAAGGGTTAGAAGGTCCAAGCTATACTGCTCCCTGCGGGCATTCAGGTTCTTTGCAATCTGCAGCCATACTGTTTATCCAGCTGCGTCTCCCATGGGGCCCTCGACTGTCCTCTTCACTCTAATTTTGCCTTCTAAGACTCTGCCCACACTGCCTACCACCACCCAGCAATGGCCCCTCCTCCTGGGTTACTAAGCCTGACCCTGTCTTCAGGGCCTGAACACCTCCTTCCCTGCTAGAGGCCCTGGTTCCTCTCCTCACTGTGCCCCATCTTGTGCCCAACTTCTGCCTGCCTGATATCCCTTCCCGGTCTCACTAGCAATGCTCTGTAATAATCCACACTTAATCGAGGACTTGCCCCATGCCCCCCAACTGCACACCAAGCACTCTACTCCATGCACTCATTTCTTCCCCTTCAAACCTTCCCAAGTGGGTGTTATTATTTTCCCCATGTAATTGAACAGGCTACTGTAGCACACTGACTTGTCCAAGGTCACACACCTACTGAGTTCCCTCATGGCCTCCAAGATGCATATAAAATTCAAGAAATTTTTGGTTCCCTGGGGCCCCAGTGATGCAGAAACCCACTTCCCACCACTCTCTTGCTCAGGAGGCAGCCATTTATAGTTCCCAGCAGCCACCCAGCCTCTCACTGCTCCCCCTGCTGGGGTCCAGGGTCCGTGAAATCTCCCACTCTCCATTTCCTCCTTCCCGTGGAGCTTGCACAACACGGTGTGTGTGTGTGTGTGTGTGTGTGTGTGTGTGTGTGTGTGTGTGACTGGGGATGGAACCCAAGGCCTTCACATTGAGCTCCATGCATGGGCTTTTTTTTTAAATTTCAAAACAGGAGTCCAGGCTCGCCTTGAATTTGAGAGCCTCCTGCCTCAGCTTCCAGAGTAGCTGAAATAACAGGTGTGTGCCCCCGCACCAAACTACCTGGCTGCCCACTTTTATCCGTTACTTCTTCCCGGGGGTGGATCGGTTCATTGGCCTGTCTTTGAGTCCCAGCGAACTTGACAGTCATAAAGCGACTCAGTTGGGCCCTTCACACAGACAGCGTCAGGAAGCCTATGTGAATGAATGAATGAACGAACGAACTTACAGACAGGGCACAGATTGGCTACCTATTCACAGCTCTGGCGCTCAGTCTACAGAGGCTGCATGGGAGTCCCGTGGGCGACTCGTGGGCGGCCCCTCCTCGCGCCACGGGTGGGGGCGAGGTGCGACTAGACACGCCCCCCCGCGGTCCCAGCGCAGTCCGCCAGGGGGCGCATCCTGACCCCCGCCGGTCAGGCCCCCTCGCGCAGGCGCGGTGCGGCGGGCGAGGACCGGGCGGTGCTTCCTCTCCGGGCCTGGCGCTTCCTCCCCGCGGAGCCCGGCTCGCCGAGCCAGCCTGCCCGCCAGTCGCGACCCGCCACCTCTTTCTGCCCTTCGCGCGCCCTACCGGGGTCCCGCCGGGCCGGTCCTGCGCGCGATCACCAGCGCCCGCCCCTGCCCCGTGCGCGCCGTAGCCTCGGCCCGAGTCCGCGGGGCGTGGAGGAGCGGAGCCCGCGGCCCGATCGCGCGCCCGGCGGCCTCAGCGGCGGCGCTGGACGCAGAGCCCGCCGCATTGTCCCCTCCCGGCGCCGTCCCCGCCCGCGCTCCCCGGCGCGGGTCCGGACCCTTTGTGCCGCCGGGCACCGCGCCCCGCCCCCGCCGCAGGGTCAGTCCCGCAGGCCGCCGATGTCGCCCGGACCGCAGCGCCCCGCCAAAGGTGAGTGTCCGGCGACGACTGGCGGAGTAAGAGAGACTGGCGCCCCGCTCGTGCCCGCTGCGCGTCCACTCCCATCCCCCATCCGAGCCCGCGTCTCTGGTTCGAGTTCTCCCGGGAGTCACCATGAGACCCTGCAAGGACTCGTTTCAGGTCAGCTGAGCCCCCACTCGTGTGTGCCTCGGAGTTGGGGACTGCAGCCCCGAGGTGGGCCGGGGCCTGGAGTGTGGGCTGGGTCCCAGGTAGTCTGCCTGTTCGTGCTTTGGCCTCCCTGCAGGTGTCCTGGCCTGCATGGTTCTAACCTGTCCCTTGGTCCTACCCGGGGGCCCTCCTGGTCCCTGGCCACTTAGGGCCCAGCCACCTCCCTGATCTCTGCTAGAAGCCTGGGACTGAACCTATCATCTTTGGCCTTGGGAGGACCAGGCCTAAGCCCAGGGACTTCTGCCCCCAGGGTGGAGAAACCTGGCAGGGGTTCCATTCCTAGTGGAAGTAACAGCAAGCTTTAGCGGTGGGGCACCCTGATCGCCGGTTCTTCCAGGCTCCTCCATGGCCAGGTATTAGGAAGGGGTGTGTCAGTCTGCCAGATGGTGGAGCTAACTAGGAGTTCCCTTCCCTGTCTGCCGTGTAGACCAGGGAATTGAGGCCCAATTAAGGCTGGTCCCACTCCAGGCCGCTGGTGGAGGGAAGCTGTTAGCTTCCACCCAGGTCTGCAGAGCTGGCCTGCTGTGGGTAGGATACCAAATAGCCACTGTCACCTACCAAGCACAGACCCCACGCTGACCCAGGAGGGATCTTGTAGGGTGAGCACGTGCTCCCCTTAGAGGGCTGGAGAGGAGAAGGCTTCCGGCCCGCTCTGCTTAGGTGTGGGTTTAGGCAGCATCCTCACTGCCCACGAGACTTCCCCTGGGTGCCCGAGACTCCATCCTGGAGGGAGACATGGGGAATGGTGGACACCTGTGTGGTGTGTGGAGAGCACTGAAGTTGGTCCTGATCCATTCTTCCCGGACCTGGCACAGGAGCCAGGCAAGTGTGGAACATGAATGAGATCAGGATGGGCAAGGTAGGAGCCCCATCTCCCCTAGCAGCACCATGCAGCCTTAGCAGGAGGATATTCGAAGACTGGGGATACCATAGGTTCCAGCTCAAGCTCCCTGTCCCCTGAGTACCCCAGTCTCTGTCTTGCTGTGACCACAGTGATAGTTGATGCAAGGGCAGTAGGGCTGAGGTCAGTGGTACATAGGACCCTGAGGCTTCCTGGAGAATAGGACCTGTGTCTAGGTCCTGGGGTTCTGTCCTGCTTAGGCCTCTGCCCTGGAACATACAGAGGTCCCAGAACTCTGAGGCACTGACTCTCTATGAGACCTAACTTCCTTTCCAACCTGAGGCGCTGGGGCTGGGGCTGGGGCTGGGGCTGGGGCTGGGCCCTGGCCCTGACACGGTTGCATGCCTCTTTACCAACCATGAGCTATAGGGGTGTGGCCAGAGTCCCCGGGCCTCTGCCTAGCACTATGCAAGGGTGTGTTTTTTTCTTGGGGAGCTCGGTACCTTCCTGCCTCTTAGAAGTGGTTGCTTCTCTCTCTGCCTTGGGCCAAGGGCAGGAAAAGACATGAAGCCAATTCCTGTTCCCTTTACCTCTTCAGGGGCATTGGGCCCCAAGAGGCTGAGCCACATGGGTGACACACACCAAGTGTTGGTAAAGTGACAGAGTGCAGCATTCCCCAAAACAGCACAGGCCAAGGCCCCAGATCCACAGTGTGATTTGACTGCGCCTCCAACAAAAAAAAAACACACTATGTATCCTGATGAGGCAGTACTGCCTTGGGCCCAGTGCAGAGCTCCATCTCTGAGGTTTTTGGTTTGTTTTGAGACTCACTATGGCAGGCTGGCCTTGAATTTGTGATCCTTCTGCCTCAGCTTCCCGACTGTTGGGATTATAGGAGGGTGCTAC